CCATAGACTTTTTGGTAATAGGTGACCGTCCATCGATTTATTGGTTTAGGTGACCGTCCATCGACCTTTTGGTCTAGGTCATCCATCGACTTTTTGGTCTAGGTGACCGTCCATCGACGTTTTGGTCGAGTTGACCGCCCATAGACGAATGCTAGAGCTGACCATCTGTAGACGTAAGGTCTAAGATGTTCAGCTGCTACCAAAGTTAACTGATTACGACAGAGGTCATTCCCTAATTATTACGTCATAATGAGTTCATTCATTCGAAACAGAAATACGGATGTATCCGATTATTCTGAAATGTTTTATATACATCAGAAATTCGTCTTACAAGAGAAGTAGAGGTAATGAAAGTCTTACAGGAAAGGTTGAAGAAAAGGCATAATCATTAAAAAAAAAAAAAATGAAAAGAAAGAACGCCATCGCTTGTTGTTGGTGGGGTTTAAAACCGTGTCGCTGACCAACTCTCACAGCAGGCTCATCAACGTCACTAATGATCACCTTAGGGGGCGTATAACTGCTAATTATTTACATGAACACCACACAAGACACACATACGGCGAGGGAATAACATCCACCCCTGACACGGACAGAGGGGGGTGGCAGGTCACTCACAAGGTGGTCAGCCAGCGGTACAAAACAAAAACTATCGCATCAAGGGAGGCTACTCTAATTTCAGGTCTTGTCACGTCACGGTATCCGCCCGCCACCACTTTTCGTGGCATGTTGTAAAAACGAAAGTTGCGACGAATGGTAGCTTATTGTGCTACCTTTGCGTGACAGCGTACATACGATCAATCTTTCTAATACCAACACTACAATGCTATTCAATCTAATGATGAATTGACTAGTTCCCTATAATCGATAACAAGCCCGCTTGTTCGACTATTTATTATTGGTCAATATTATACAAACAGACCAATAAATAATATAAACAATAAACGAAAGCAGAATGAATAAAACGTATATTATACAAGGCTGGGCCTTATTTTTTTACGACAACAATAATTAAAATGACGTAAACGTTAGCTCCATATCGTTCACCGCGGGGTCACGTGTAACAGGAGCCGTGACGTCACTGGCCACTGCAGACGCAGCAAATAATTCAAGGCGACATGTGCTTCCCCTCCGCCCCCACTCCCCACCCATGCTCGGAATATAATTCGGGATTATTTGCTTTAAAGATCACATTTATAATGTGGTGGGGTGGTTAACTTGACAGCCACACGAACCAGGGCAGCCCAACCACATGAATTAAACCCCCCACACACCACAAAAAATGCATTTTAGGACAAAGCTCTAAACCTCCCACCATAAATAAACACAACGTGCAGAAAAGTTCAGCCACCAAATCGATCTTGTTCACCCAGTACTTGATGCACGATCAACTCGAATCTAAATATAGATTCAATATGACCAACACGCCCAAAATAAACATGGCCCATATTATTGTATGATTTTTTTTTATATATATTACGCCTCAAAGCGACAACAAGAAAATGCTTTTTAAAGTTAATATTTCTAATTGCTTATCGAAACCGTGTGATAAAAAATAAATAGCCCTTAGCCAAACCGTTATCCCCCCCCCCCCAATAAAAATAAGGAGCACCTAATCCACTCCAATAGTAAAAATTAAAATTTGATCTAAAAACTAAAAAAAAAAATGGGGTTTGAAAATAAAATCTATACTGGGTCAAGAGTTTATCCCCCCCCCCCCCAAATCACTGGAAGAACCCCCCCCCCCCCCCAATCCCGACGTGCATGACATAATGTACAGACAAACCCAAAAATAGAATGCATGTTAAAAATTGATCGATTCTAGTTATGCTATTCCATGGGTACCGGCTACTCGATCAGAGTGAGACGCGGCCTTATGCACGCTGGTTAAACTCAATACATCACCTCAGTGTATTAACTATATGACCACACCAGTTGACACAGTCCGGTCTCAACACCCCCCCCCCCCCACACACACACACACGGACCTGTCCTGACAATAGGTCACATAAAGGTACCTCCACCCCTTTCATTAAGACGATATATTCTTTTGAAGAAAAAAAAAACAAAATTTGAGTGACAACAACATACGTCAGCAGAGAGACAAGTCAACAGTCGGCCACAGTAGTTAAAACAAACACAACATCCTGTCAAAAATAACTAGCATCATGCCTACACGGCGGCGGCTGACCAAATCAACAACGTTAGAATAACAACAGCAAAAAAAAAAGTAATTAAAAGATAAATAAGATAAAAATGAGCAGATGTCTTCACCGACCCACACACCAACACGGGTGTGTACCATACAGGATGGTGTGTACCCATACAGGATGGTGTGTGCCCATACAGGATGGTGGATACACATACAAGATGGTGTGCCAATACAGGATGGTGGATGGTGTGTACCCATACAGGATGGTGGATACACATACAAGATGGTGTGCCAATACAGGATGGTGGATGGTGTGTACCCATACAGGATGGTGTGTACCCATACAGGATGGTATGTGTACACATACAAGATGGTGGATGGTGTGCCAATACAGGATGGTGTGTACCCATACAGGATGGTGTGTACTCATACAGGATGGTGGATGGTGTGTGCCCATACAGGATGGTGTGTGCCCATACAGGATGGTGTGTACCCATACAGGATGGTGGATGGTGTGTACCCATACAGGATGGTGTGTACCCATACATATGGTGTGTGCCCATACATATGGTGTGTGCCCATACATATGGTGTGTACTCATACAGGATGGTGTGTGTACCCATACATGATGGTGTGTACCCATACAGGATGGTGGATGGTGTGTGCCCATACAGGATGGTGTGTACCATACAGGATGGTGTGTACCCATACAGGATGGTGTGTACCCATACATATGGTGTGTGCCCATACATATGGTGTGTGCCCATACATATGGTGTGTACCCATACATATGGTGTGTACCCATACAGGATGGTGTGTGCCCATACAGGATGGTGTGTACCCATACAGGATGGTGTGTGTACCCATACACGATGGCGTGTGCCCATACAGGATGGTGGATGGTGTGTACCCATACAGGATGGTGTGTGTGTGCCCATAAAAAAACACGTGAGTTGCTTATTTTGGAAGAAGAAAAAAAGCCAGTGACTAGACGGCCCGTCATGGCCAAGAAAGTGCTCGTACGCGCGCGCGTCGCATTGCATAAAGACATGAGCTGAGCCCACAAGCGAGGGGAGGGTAGAGGGAGAAACGCCGGTGAGCAGTATATGGCGGGAGAATGATTGCACGTACAAGCCGGCAGACGCCTACCTGCACTCAGAAATGGGAGCAGACGAGCTGAGAGCAGGCACACAAAGTCAGATAGATTTATGTTTAGTAAATGATAGAAGAAAAAATACGAAACAGAATACAATGAATAAAAGAATCATTTTTAAAGATTAAACAATCTAACTTAAGACTTTCTAAATAATGGAAGTTAAGTGGGGAAAAAATAGGAGCAACACCTGTTTTTTTTTTAGCAATGAAGACGAAAAAAAAATTCGCGCTTAAAGTCCTTTATGCAAAAATAGGTCACGTATTTCCCCCGCACTATCATAATCTGTTAACGGTGATCGCAGATTGGGTGAAGATGAGGAGGGGGCGGGGAAGGTAAAAAAAAAGAAATGCCCCCCCCCCCTCCCACTTCCTAATAATGAAGAGAAAAAAGGTGGAAACGGCAGGTTTGGAGCGCAAATATTAGTACCAGTGTTAATCTGTACGCGGGGCCATATCAAAGCGAAATAGGCGGCAGAGGTGATTGCACGCGGCGCGGACACACAAAAAAAAGTTGCAAGCAAACAAAAAACGTAAACAGAAAAAATTGAACAATGACTTGGGCACCGGTAAGCGGAATTAAAATAAAAAACGTGGGTCATGACCATTGAGGAATAAAAAACCCACAAGCGCAGCAGTTTTTTGTTTTTGAGGACTGGGGGATTTTCATTGACTTATCCCACGTCTAGATCTAATATAATTATTATTGTTAGACAATTTATTACAAGACAAAACTACAACTACACTACTACCAGTTCTTACTTTAAGAAATTAGTTTAGAATTCTAACAGCACCAACAGACAGATACACACATTTTAAAAATGCTATTTTGAGAACCAAACCATGGATTCCACTAATTAAAGTTGTTTTTGTTTTATCCTCAGGAAAAATTACTTTCAAACTTCAAAACCCCATTTCAATAGAGATGATTTCGTAAAAAAATAATGACCAGTACATTAAGGATTATTTTGTAATAAAAGATAATAGTTTGCTAAAATATAAATGGTAGATTTTTTTTTTAAAATGTGAATATTTCACAATCACAGATGACAACTTTTGATAGCAAAAATTAAATGTATTCCTTCACTGTTAAGGACTGCTGCATAAAAATCAGGGGAAAATATAGAGAATTTAATAATTAGTTATTTGTTAGTCTACAACTTTGTCATTAGGAAACTAATTCAACAGTCAATTAGCATCAGCAACCACTGTGTTCTTAAACAAACAGCCACTAAAAAATATATCTCCGCAGGCTGGTGTTAAGACAATAGGACATTCAACCAGACAGCTGAGTCAGCACAGTGCAGGGGTTTTATTGATTAAATATAATAAATTAAAAACAACAAAATAACGGTAGCTGAGAATTAACGAGAATGTGAAAAATGGCCTACCATTAATACACAATTTCAAAGTAATGTATATAATTAGCTAAGTTAATAGGTACTTAAATTATTTTTTTCATACATAAAATGTGAACAGTCTTTAAATATTTTAGTGAAAGGCACTTACATAAATAAATCAAAAGACCGTTGATGGCCATATAACAATATTACATTTAAGAACAAGAAGTTAGTGTTTAAAGATGGCATTAATCAACAGTTACACAAAAAGAATGAAAGTAACTTTACACCCAGATCTAACTCAGAGTGGCTGATCGAAGTGATGAGCAAGAGAATGAAGCCAGGATAAAACAACTCACCCTGATTCTGAAGTGTTGTCTGTTGGGCTGTGCCAGTTCTTGATTTTCATTCTGTGTAAATGGTAAAACAAAAAGTTTCAATGTTGCACTAGAACAACTTGATACACCAAGTAACACACCCACACTGTGGGGGGACAAGCTTATAAATAGCCAATGATAACAGCTGAACGGTGATGTCAACTGCCCTAGATTACTACCTGGTATCACATACTCCAGTTTCAGAAGTTTATCCCCCCCCCCCCCTCACCAGTAACAAAACAACTAAAGACTTGCCCTATTATTTTAATCAGATGCTTATCAAGGGGCAAAAGACAGTCACTCCAGCCACAGCAGAGAGTGGTCTCAAAACAAGTTGCGACAAACATAAAAAGTCACCACTGACAGTCAACGAAACAAAAAACGTAAAAACATGTTCAAACAGATCACTGGGTCCTAGAGAGCACTTGTCCATGTCACGCTGACGAGAGGACACACATAGCACCCCAGTTATGATAATGTCCAAGTCACAGCATCAAGTAATGGAGGAGGGGGATAAAGGGAGGAGAGAGAGAAAAAAATTGATCCTCGCTGTTTGAAAGATAACAAAACATGCTTCCACTTGTTTCATGGAAAATTTAACCCAACTATATCCAAACATAAGGTCAAACAAATACTTTGCTAAGTTCCAACATGACCAGAGATTAATCTTCCAGTACCACTCATGGTTCTAGCTCAGATCATGTGTAGGTACTTGAAGTAATAACTTAAGAAAGTTCAAAATCAAGAATTTAAAAAAAAAAAAAAAAGAATCAGACTTAACATTGTTTAACAAAAATAATTATTTGGTATGAAAAATTGCATCTTCAGATAAGACTTCCTAAGGAAATTAACTCATGTCTGAGACTTCAGATAAGAATTTATACACTAATACCAAACTGTAATATGTCTACATAACATATGGGTTTAATTAACCTTTAAAACAATGTTAATTAATGTGCAGCAGCAGAACAGCTTCTGGCTTCATGTTAAGTAAGAATGGATGGTGTAACTAAAGTTTTTTCTCTTTAATTTTGTACTCAAATAGCACACCTAGCGTGGGAAAAATGTAAATATGATGAATAGCAGTATGTCATAAGGACGCCCTAAACTGTATCAGGATTTTAAACGTATGCCTCAAAAGATTTGTGAACCATGACAAGCAAACAATGTTGAAAGGTAGGTATATTTTTAGACCTTGTTCAGGGTCAATACACTTGGGATCAAAAGGGAAAAAAAACCAGTGATGCAGATGAAAAAAACTGCAATTCAACAGAAAACAATATAACAAGGGCAATGTATGTTAAGAATGTGATGTAATTTATTTGGTTCTACACCCACACAGAAAACAAACATTGGCCTGAATATACATTAACATACATACATACATTGCAGTTTATATAAACAAACGACTGATAAAAAAATACTTACAATGACATCTAATTCTGCTGATTCCATTGTTCTTCTGCGTTTAGATGAGGGGAAGTCTACAGCTGATTCATTGTCTGATGACCTAGACCGTAGCGCATGCCTCTGGCTAAAATAAAAAATATTCTGGTATCAAGATTTATGTATTCAGCAAAGTTGTAAAATATTAGAAAAGGTTTTTAGTAAGCACAGTAGATGTGTGAAGTGAACATTAATCCTTTTCTAACTTTTTAGTACTGTGACCATTTCTTGCACAATGATTTATTTTAATTTTGACTTGCAAGCTACAAAATCCTGATGCCCACATTACTATAGGCTGTTGGGAGTTTTTTGCTCCAAGTATGTTTACCAAAGCCATTTAACAAAGTGGTCATTCTACCATGTGAGTCAGTAATTTTTAAGTTTTCTGATCACACAACATTATTATTAGTAATTCTGAACAAGTCTTTGACAGTAAGTACCATATTGTCAGACATACTAGCATAGGAAACAAGTGATGCCATTGGATAAGGCTAAAGAGACATCCTTGTTATTTCTATACATAACATTAGGCCTACATACCTAAATATGATACCAAAAAAAGAATAGAATAAAAATAAAAATAAAGGCTTTGAAGTCTGTTACTTGTCAGTTATAAATGATTGTTATAAATGATGAGGATTTCATATTTTGTATAATTCAAACAGCATTTTTCTTTTCTCATGCTCATGGTGCAGTTCTCCAGCTTCAAATAACACTCATCTGTATAGTTCTTTTAGTACTGATCAGTGTTTCAAAGTTTCAGTATTTTAAGCCACATGGCCTAGGCAGTAATAATTTATTGAAGAAGATAATCACAGACATTTTCCTAGCATCACAATTGTTTCAGTGACTAGCCATAATCTAAACCCACGGTGCACCTAAGGTAAATGGAATCCAGCTATTATATGGCCTAAGCAGTAATTATTTATTGAAGAAAATAATCACAGACATTTTCCTAGCATCACAATTGTTTCAGTGACTAGCCATAATCTAAACCCACGGTGCACCAAAGGTAAATGGAATCCAGCTATTATTAGATCTATATTCTATAGCCTAACAAACTCATCAAAATTAATGTGGATAGGGGAGGTGACAAACCTTCATTGAAATAAATGAACAAAAATAAGTCTATTATTTGAGTTTACATCCATCACTTTAAGATTGACCATATGGCAAAGAAATGCACCTGTACTGTCAATAATCATTGATATTGAGTGACATCATGTGTCTCAGTTATCACTTCATTATAACCACTAAAAATTAGTAACTTTAATAATATATATAAATGAAGGTATTTTATAGGCTTAGAATACAAAAACTTAAAATAAAATATGGAAAAAGAGAATAATTAAAAATATCCAATTCATTGAAAATAATACTTAGGGCTTTGGGCCTATTCTATTTCAATTAGGGCTGGATCTATTAATTTTTCACTGTTTTATTAGCATTAATAATTAAATGCAATGACTAAAGTGAAATCATCTTATTTTAAAGCAGGAATATTAGTTTATACTATACTTACCCTCTTCTTGACATTTTTCTTCTTTGGGGATAAACAGTACACTCCTCTTATTCCACACTGAAATAAGACAAAAATCAGCTGAGTCCAGTCATCCAGTATGGGTGGGAATAGTTATCCATTAATTTACCCATTTATAATGGAGAAACATCAGGAGCTGATATCAAACATAGATAAACAAAACGATATATTTTAGTTACTTTTTAATACCTAAAAGAAATAGGCTCTATAGATCTGGAAATATTAAAATTGGATGTGGCGAGACAGTCTTAATGCATTTTGTCTGGCGATTTTTTTTAACACCGACACCTGCTGACACGGCTATGTCGAGCTGGCTGCATCAGCTTTTACCCGACAATACGTCACTACTAAATTATATAAATGAACTTTCCGGTTGCACATTGAAACATAAGTTAACAAACCTTAGTAAAGGTATAAAACGTTACTGGAAGACTAGTCCTAAACCATATTGCACAGTCCGTATGAAGGCTCGTTCTGAGGTCTCTTCAGTCACAGCCGGACTTCCCCGCCGAATCACTTCACAAAGCTTGCTTTCGGCGCCAAATTGAGGTCATCGTATAGTACTCTGTTATTACTTTTTTGACTTAATTTTTCAGTTTTATCTTGATATACTCTAAATTAGCCAAATTCCAACTAATAACGTCGAAAACTAGCCGTTTATTTTAATTAAATTTGATATTGCCGATCACTTTCTTTCAACGTGTCAACCCAACTGCTTTATCAGCAGAATCGGCGGTCATCGCGGGAAGAATGGTAAAAAAGTCAGATTTCCGAGTTCAGCCGAAAAGATCGGCGCGAATACACAAAAATTACAAACATAAATAACACTAAAACATCAAAACTGATAAAAATAACTTGAAACTGTCATTACAATTCGTCTTTAGGTTCGTCCAGTCTTTGTACCCATTGCTAGTGAACGCATAGCCCTAGCACGAATGTATCAGAAAAATGTAAACAATCGGACAGGCAGATAGTATATGACTTGAAAAAAAGCATATGTGTGACTGGATATAATAAAGTTACATACCATTCGAAAGCTTTTAAATCGAATTTTCATGTTAGCTCATAAAATGCATTAAGCGGTATGTTTGTTTTCAAGGATTACAGAAAAAAGCAATGGCATAGGGGCCGTTTCTGAAACCATCAACTTAGCCATGTTGCGGCCCACTGCGCATGTCAAATGTTTTGATTGGTTGGTTGAGACACACCTCCAAAAATATCAACAACAATGGCGGCCTCCGTACTAGAACGTTTCTGGGGAACATTCAAACATAAAACTGGCAATGTTATTGGAATGATTCATGTTAGAGCGTTACCAGGTCAGAAGTTAGTTTAATGTGTATGTGCTACAATGATATTTAAAGCTAGTTTTCCTCCATTAATAAAAATAAACGGTTTTACATCTAGATCTAGGGTAATCTATCGTTTTGGGTACGTAAAATCGCCCGCGGCTATTAATGTACGAAAACGTTACCTCAATGTCAAGGCTGTAATAGAAGTATATTGTGATATGCTTGTGTCAAATATTATAGATAAATGAATAATAAACCTAAATCAATGGCTAAATATGTCAATATAGGCCAGAAATTAACTTTAAACAGCAGTGTCTGCAAGCAAGATTTGCTATATAAACAGCGGCCATTTGTAAAATAGAGTGACTTCCGCTTGAATCTTGCGCTATAAGTCTATAAAAATAAAACTTTAACAAGATGGCTGCTATAGTAAATGAGCATGGTTGCATCTGTTGGAAACATCGCTGGTGTTCATCTATTACTGAAAAGTTTTAATTCAACTGTTTAAAAACAGGTACATAAATGAAACAAGGAAACATTTTTGTATTTTTCAAAACATAAATCCTCCTCAAAATGTTAAATAATTATTAAAATGTAAGGAGTCACCTGTTTTTCACATTACAAGTCGCGGGCGATTTTACGTACCCAAAACGATAGATTACCAGATCTAGTTGTCATGCACGCTATGCTGCTCCTCCCTCAGCTCATCAGCAGTTGTACTGTCACACTGTGACACAATACATACGTCAATACTCAACTGTAACTGTACTGAGTATCTGATCTGACGGTATCCAGTGTTACTGAGTACTAAATGGGAGAAATGCTGGTGAGCATGGCTCAAGTTGCGAGTGAAACAGTAACAGTGAAGTTAAACTTTAAACGAACCCCAAGCCCTAAAGTTACCCCATTCAATTCATTCAGGATTCATCATCATCTATATTTCTATAGATCTAGTATAATAAAATAAGTAGAAAGCACTAAAACTTTAAGTCTACTTTTACTTTTTAAGTTTTTAACTACTAGACTGCACTACCACAATGATTCAGAATGCTAAGGAAGGAAGGAGTAGTAATACTAGTAGTAGTAGGCAGTGGCGTAGCGAGGTCGGGTGTCACCCGGTGCGGCACTTAATGGTGTCACCCCCCAGAGGCATAGCAACCCTTCCCAGGGACAAACTTTCAATTTTCGATGTGCACCCCCCCCCCCCTCAAATTTTTCTCTGTATATTTTACTATTTTTCGCCTGGTGTCACCCGGTGCGGTCCGCACCCCGCCCCCCCCCCCCTCGCTATGCCTCTGGTAGTAGGCCCTATATAATACGAGTAATGCAATTGGGAATATTTTATATGGTTAGTTTTAGCCAAAAGAAAGTAAGCCAATCCAAGTAACTAACTTACAATTGTCCTTTCCTTATCACAATTTTCAGGTACTCCACGGAACAGTCACTCTGTAAAGGAAATAGTTGACATTGCATGTAAAGAAGCAGCTATTTATAAACATGCTGGGGTTGTATGTATATTTTTTCTTATTTAAAAAAAATATTCAAATAATAAAATGGATATTCCAACTATCATTTAAGGTGATCAGGGGCACTTCTGTCTTTTATCACAATACTTAGGGCCTGTGTTGTCAATGGTAGAGCTTATGTCTGGTCACCTGAAAGTCTCAAGCTTGGATTCCAGACTTGGGTCTGTTTGACATCCGTCCCAGTCCACCCAACTCTGATGGGTACCTGACTCTCGTCAGGGAAACGTAGGCAGCTGGGCATAGTGCTGACCACAATGCCCCCTTGTATGCTTAGGTCATTGAAAATGATGGTCTCTACTTCATCTGCCCCATATGCCTTAGGCACAGATGGGAAAAGATAGTGATGATCATAATACTTATGGTTTGGTGAACTGTGAATTATCATAGATAATATTTATAAATGCAAATAACATTTATTACTTTATTTCTAAAAATTGTTTATAGTTCAAATATAGTAGAATACAAATCTAATTAAGATATATTGATTGAAATATTTTGTTCTAGGATGGAATCATTGTAGAAAACATGCATGATATACCCTACCTGCATAGCTCTCAAGTTGGCCCTGAAGTCACTTCAGTCATGTCTGTTGTTTGCCATGAAGTCAAGCGCATCTTCTCCCACGCTCCGGTGGGCGTGCAGGTTTTAGCTGGAGCCAACAAAGAAGCCCTGGCAGTAGCCAAAGCAGCTGGGCTGCAGTTTATCAGAGCAGAGGGATTTGTGTTTTCTCATGTAGCTGATGAAGGGCTGATGAATGCTTGCGCTGGTGAACTCATGAGATTTCGTAAACACATAAATGCTGAAGATGTCATGGTGTTTACTGATGTCAAGAAGAAACACAGGTGAGCTGTCCATTTCATGGTGAAAGCCTAGTTTTATTTTAAAATGAAGGTAAGCTTCCTCTCAAACTAGAAGTTCTCAGGATGGGCATAGGTTTGCCTTTGCTCTATAAACGAAATGTGTGGTCAGCTAGTCTACTATCTGCCTTTACTCTCCACCATACCAGCCTGCCATCAGAGCTGGGTGTACTGAACATCTTACAGGAACAGAACTTGAAAGTTTTGAGTTTTCATGTAACAAAACTTAAAATCTTTTTACTGAAATAATCCCTCACTGGCAGTCACTTCTAAACCACTTAACCCATGAACATTCCCCCTTAGTTCTTACAAATTAACTGAACATATTGATCTCACTGATACAGTCTCAACATTATTCACTGGGACCTCTTGTGAAGCAAAGGTACTCCAATGCTCTCTCCATCTTACTGTAATTTGGGTGACTCCTCCATGTTGTATGGAGAATAACTGCCATAAATAAGAAGAAAATACAATCATTTATAAACGCATGCGTCAGAAAGATCCTGCGAATTCGCTGGCCTAAAACCATCAGAAATGATGTTCTATGGCAACGGACAAATCAACTGCCAGTTGAAGTAGAGATCCTCCAGAGAAAATGGAAATGGATTGGCCACACACTCAGAAAGTCTGTATCCAGCATAACAAGAGAGGCCCTCATCTGGAATCCACAGGGCAGGAGGAGGAGAGGAAGACCAAGAAAGACCTGGAGACGTGACATGGCAGAAGACACCAAGAAGATTGGATACACCTGGGGTCAGTTGGAGAGACTAGCCCAGGACAGAGACGTCTGGAAAGCTCTTGTCAGCGGCCTATGTCCCAGGAGGGACGACTGGCAAACCTAACTAACTAAACTCCATGTTGAGTCCAAAACATTCTGGCTTCTTGTGTTCCTATGTATGTTTATCAGCCAATTTTCTTGTTTCTTGGGTATTCTGATCTAATGCATGTCTGTTGATTTTGTTAGTTGGTATATCCAATCCATCCTTATTTGTACTTTTGTATTTCTTTACCAAAGCGTTTTACCTAGGTTTTTCCCATAGCATAGACTTTGTAATTTTCACAGGCCACCTGATGTGGCTCAGGCATATGTTTACCAAGGTCTGAAGTTTATTCATCATTATCATTTCTTTGGACCCCTTCTGGGGGATTCCTCCAAGTTGGACCCACGACATTCCAGCTGCTTCAGCTTCACTGACAACTGACCTTTTCCAAGTTTGGTTTGGCCAACCTACTTTCTTGTTACTTTGGGGATTCCAATCTAGAGCCTGTCTGGTGATGTTACGAGTTGGTTTACACATTTGCTGTTTTATATTTCTTTGCCCAGCTTTTCTCCACAGTTTGGTATAGGTAATTTTGTCAGGCCACCTGATGTTAAACTTGTGGCAGAAGCATCCATAAATGAAAATCTGATGTTTGTTGTTACTAGTTTGTGTAGCTTCATGTCTCAGAACCATAGAGGAGAACAGATTTCACATTGCTGTCAAATAGTCGTATTTTGGAAAGTGTAGACAGTGCTCTTGGCGTCCAGGTTGTGTTAAGAGTGTTGAATGCATACCTGGCCTTGCTGATGTCCTCATCTGCTCTCCCAACCTTGCTTACTACACTTCCTAGATACGTGAAGCAATTCACCCCCAAAAATAGTCATTTCTAGTGGGAGCTCCTTTTTATTTTTAACTTTCATCACCTCTGTTTTTTTTCCAGTTGATCTTTAACTTTAAGCCTGTCTTAAGAGCTTCTTCACTGAGTTTGCTTAGCTTGGGCTGGGCATGCTGTTGTTGATGTGAGAGGATGCTGATGTCACCCACAAAATCTAGATACTCCAGCTGTTAAGTTATGGTCCACTGAATTCCACCATTTTTGGTCTGAGGTTGTTCTTCTCATGATTTAGTCAAAGACTATCAAAAAGATTATTGGCAAAAGCATGCAGCCTTGCCATACTCCAGATAATGGTAAAATGCACCATGACCTGCTTATGTGACTTTTGATGTCCTCAACTGCTCTCTCATACCTTGCTTACTTCAAATCCAATATATTTGGAGCAGTCTACCTCAGAATTAGTTTTTCCTTCAACTTGAAGTAAATGTTCCCTTTCAAACCTGTTCACCTATTTTTGTGACCTATTGTCTGTGACCTAGTGTGGTCAGCACTATGCTCAAATGCATTTACTTTCCCTAATTTGAGTTAGGTACCCGCCAGAGCTGTGTGAACTCAGGGACTTAAACTCAAGGCTTTCAGGGTTAACAGTTGTATGTTTTACCATTCAACCAAGCTGACTTATTCTGTATGAAGTAAAAGCTCCTATTTGTTGAAAATTCTCTTCACCTTTGTTTTCATCAAGTTGTTCTTCAAGAGTGTCTTGAGCGAGTTTGCCTAGCTTGGAATGGGCATGTTGTTGATGATGTGAGAGGAGATACGCTACAAAGTCAAGGTCATCAAGCTGCTTGGTGAGGGTCCAAACTCCAGCTTTTTTTTTGTTTTAGGCTGATCTTCTGATTCTCAAATCAATAACTCTCAATATATGTTCATGTGTAGTAGTTCTGTTGCTCTCTGGAATAGATGGGGGGAGGGGGGAGATGTATTAAAAATACTCTCAAAGCATTGGACCTGACGATATCTCTGTTCTTTATCCCATTATTGTTAAGTCAACTTTATTCTTCACTGGCCTACTGGGGTTGGTACTCTTGCCTGACAAAATTCCTGTGATTCTGCTCTACCCTTTTGTCATGCAGCCTCTTATGTCATTTCATGATTGAAGCATTTCTAGTCACCTCTTGCACTCTGATTGATGGCATTTCTAGTCACCTCTTGCACTCTGATTGATGGCATTTCTAGTCACCTCTTGCACTCCGATTGATGGCATTTCTAGTCACCTCTTGCACTCTGATTGATGGCATTTCTAGTCACCTCTTGCACTCTGATGGCATTTCTAGTCACCTCTTGCACTCTGATGGCATTTCTAGTCACCTCTTGCACTCTGATTGATGGCATTTCTAGTCACCTCTTGCACTCTGATGGCATTTCTAGTCACCTCTTGCACTCTGATTGATGGCATTTCTAGTCACCTCTTGCACTCTGATTGATGGCATTTCTAGTCACCTCTTGCACTCTGATGGCATTTCTAGTCACCTCTTGCACTCTGATTGATGGCATTTCTAGTCACCTCTTGCACTCTGATTGATGGCATTTCTAGTCACCTCTTGCACTCTGATTGATGGCATTTCTAGTCACCTCTTGCACTCTGATTGATGGCATTTCTAGTCACCTCTTGCACTCTGATTGATGGCATTTCTAGTCACCTCTTGCACTCTGATTGATGGGACTTCCTTCTTCTGCTGGTCCAGGCATTGGTTAATGTTTTACTCTAAATCTCTTCTAGCTGGTGTCATCCACTCTTTGAGTTCCCTGTTTTTCAGACCCTGGACTTCATAACCTGCTGATTTGCAAATTTGTAACAACTCTAACCAATAGTTTCCCATACTTTCTTCCATCAATTTTAGATGGCTTTCAACTTCACAGTTGAAGGATTCTTGTTTCTTTTTGCACTTTAAACATTACATGTTAAATTTGTGATGTGGTCTGCTGAATGACTACAGCTTGATGTTGAATGAAGGAACCAGGAACTGTTGATCTGAAGCTACATCTGCTCCTCATTTTACTAGCACATCCAAAGGACTTCTCTACTTGCTAGTAGTTGTGGAGCTTTAGATAGTCTTGTTGATGGCTTTGTTTGAGAATATTGTTCCACACCTTGGTCAGGCATGAGAACACATGGTAACTAACTCCAAAAGTTTAAAGTTCAGATTCCCAAGTTATTAGCTGGGGACTGCAACCCTTCTAGGAGAGAAATCTTCAAAATAACAAATGGCTGCCTTGCAGATGGTTCTTGGAAGGACAAAGGCTATGAAAGAAAAAAAAGGAGGCTGAAGTCAGTCAACTGGCTATAGGTCCCTAACATGTTGAACTAATATTTGTGTTGAAGAAAACCCTGGTCAGACACCATTAGCAGTGCCAACTTTCTTCAAAGGACAGGCCAAAGACCAATAGAAAGGGAAGATGGGGCTAGATTTGCCACAATTTACAAAAAACACCAGACAAGCTGTAAATGGAACCAACAAAGCAAAGGAAGGAAAGGTTACCCTGGTGATGTGAACTTGAGGCTGGCACCAATTAGATAAGTTACAGCTGAAACACATGGAAAAGATAGCTCAGAATGAGGACTAGGGAGATCTGTGTTTAGCCGCCCATACCCCAGCACAGTTAGTAACTCCTACAAGGTTTAATGACTAGTCTGCACCTGTATGTTTAAGTATCTTGACAAGTTGTAAAGTGGAAGAATCTCCTGGCAGTGATACAGAACTTTCCTAAATGACAGACCCAATTAGCTTCCAGTATGTTTTTGGTAATCTATCACAATGTAGCACATTTCAACAGACCTTTTCTTTTGTAACATGATAAGGTATCTTGAATTCTATTGAGCTGTTAATTATAAATAAACAAAAGTAACGCTGAAATATTGTTTTTAAAAAAAAAAATGAAGTTATCCATTCTGTCCTTGTAGTAAATAGGGCAGAGGAAACAGTGTTTACCTTTTTCTGTTAACTCAGTATATGAAGAACTAGTGTGGTTAGCTCTATGCCCAGCCACTTTTCTTTCCCTAATATGAAGTAGGTCCCCATCTGAGTTCGGTAGACTCAGGATGTCCTACAGAGGTAAGTTTGGGATCCGAACTTGCGACTTTTGGGTTAGCAGCTGTGTGCTCTACCATCCAACCACTCCATCCCATACTGTCACATCTCTGTACATAACTCTTCTTTTTCTTCTTCTTCGTTCTTAATTATTAGTGTTGAAGGGGATCGAGATTTATCTGCCAGTGGGTTTGAATTCGAGACTTCGTTCAAATTTATCAACCATGAGCTTTTTGCCGACTCGACCACGCCTCCAACACAATTAAGCGTTACGTGTCAACTGGTTATGCGCCATTGAGGCCATTGACTCCGATTTCAGCCTGCTTTTCTTTTTGGATTTGCTTCCATAGCCTTTGTCCAACCAAGAACAAACTACAAGGCAGCAGTTGTTTAATTTTGGAGTTGTCTCTCCTAGAAGAGTGGCTGTCCCCAGCTAAAGAGCCTCATCTGCCCGAGGGTTCGAACTCGTGGCTTTTCGGTTTAGCAACCATGAGCTTTACCGACTCGACCACGCCGACCCATTGTACATAACAATCCCTGTGTGCTCTACCATCCAACCACTCCATCCCATACTGTCACATCTCTTTACATAACAATCCCTGTGTGCTCTACCATCCAACCACTCCATCCCATAGTGTCACATCTCTGTACATAACAATCCCTGTGTGCTCTACCATCCAACCACTCCATCCCATACTGTCACATCTCTGTACATAACAATCCCTGTGTGCCCTACCATCCAACCACTCCATCCCATCTCTGTACACAACAATCCCTGTGTGCCCTACCATCCAACCACTCCATCCCATCTCTGTACACAACAATCCCTGTGTGCCCTACCATCCAACCACTCCATCCCATCTCTGTACACAACAATCCCTGTGTGCTCTACCATCCAACCACTCCATCCCATCTCTGTACATAACAATCCCTGTATCCACAGCGCTCATGCTATAACAAGTGACGTGGATATAGTCAACACAGCTCAAGCTGCTGAGTTCTTCCTGAGTGATGGAGTTATTGTTACAGGGGATGCCACTGGGAAAGCTGCTAGTGATACAGAAGTTAAAGGTAGAAACAGCTGTTTTTTTTGGGGGTATCTTATTGTAGGTTGGAAACCTTGGCAGGGTGGGAGGTTTGGAAGTGTAAATAACCTCAAGTGGATGTGATGTCCGCTTGATATTTTACTGACAATAGGCTTATATGTTGTGAGAAAAACTTAACAACCTTGAGAAATTGATTAGTTTTTCAACCTAGCATAACGATTCCACCAAAAATTGGAGGGGGGGGGGGGGGGGGGGGGTTGTCGGACATGTTAGAACCTGCAGTGAATGTAGTGTCCGCTTGATATTTTACTGGAAATAGGCTTAAGAAAAACTAAGCAAAACTGATTAAAATTAGTCAGCCTAGCATTATGAATCCACAAAAAATTGCTCCTAAATATTGGTACTTAACATGCTGCATGCAACACAGAGCTGATGAGGTTAATAAGTTTTCTGGCTAATGCTCATATCTGTTAACTGACAGGTCATGGAAATGTTTGTGGTGAGTTCACATCATTGCCACACCACTCAGAAACAATTGAGTACATTGAAGAAATGTACTTTGAAACCAAAGTTTATGTTACATAAAGTATACTATATCCTGCCATCTTTACAAGAAACCCTGAAATTATTATTTTTTGTTGTAAAATGTAGATTAAAAATGTGTTTTGCCAAAGTTTATTTCTGTGCTTTTTTTTAGCCGTGCTGGGAGGTGTCACCATCCCAGTGCTTGTTGGGTCCGGGGTGACCCAGGACAACTACCACCAGTACAGCCAGGCCCATGCTGTCATCGTGGGCTCACACTTCAAGCTGGACAGCAACTGGCTGGAGGAGATTGATGTGGCCAGGGTCCAGAAGTTTATGGAGACTGTCCACCAGGTCAGGCACGTCCCCATTGAATCAACAATGATTATGTAGTGGATTATAATCAGCTTTTTGATTCTGCTTGGCTAGAGAACACTGGCTCATGTTACAGCCTGCATCACCATTTGTAATTTATTATCCATTTTCATTAAGCAGGTTAACTTATCTGGTATAAAATGAAACCCAATACTTGAATATGTTTCACATTTAGCAGTATTACAATTGACTGTTTTATCAGTTATGACTTGAGTTCAGATCAATTTTATTGTCCTTAGATTTTTATGGATTGTTGTCATTTCATGTAGTATTTTTTTTGCAATTGTAGGGATCTATATTCTATGTAGAAATGATGTACCAAGGTAGTTATGTAAAATTATCACTTGTAATATTATATTCAGATTTTTTTCATTATTGTCAGAACTTTATTGTTTTTTAAATTTTAATTGATGTTTTACATAGAAATTACTAGATTTTAAAATTGTCACTAATGATATTGTACATTTTGTATAAGCAATTGGTTGTGTGATTTTAAGTAATATAATTGTTTTGCAATGCCAAGCATTTTAATTTTACACATGTTCTTGTTCATTAAAAACTGCTGGTAGACTGGAAATCTGTTAGGAACATAAAACATTCCAATGGTGTCGATATCAAATTGATATTTTTATAGATTAGTGTTGTGTATAACAATTTTTTTTCTGTACTTTGAGATAATGAAAATTTATAAATGTGTTCATTATTAAAAAATGGTTTAACTTAAACACTCATTCTCATCCCAATCTTATTCAAAAGACATGTAACCATTTGATTTGCAAGTTGGTCAAGTTGATGTTATATCATCATGATTGTTAATCTTTATATCACAAATATATTCTGGTCAGCCTTATTTTATAGTTATACCATGTTTACAATTTACAGGGGTATCTTTATGGCAACTTATATGTTCACAGTTGCTCACTTTAGATGATTTTACAGAACACCAATAAACTGCTGTTTTCACAATTAAGAGTCATTGTTGCTTATTACCATACAAAATAATTTTAAAATAACTTTTTGCTGAATGATTATTTTTGTGTGGTGCTTTGGCAGCTATATACTCACAAGTCATTTGATGTCATGCTGCAGTTAGTCAAAAAAAAAAAAGTAAGAAATGACATTGCACCTAATAATACTGGGTTCACTTATAGACTTTAAATACACTACACTTCCATACCAGTCTATAGAGAAGTAACAAAGTAAATGTAATCACACTTTTCCATAAAATTTGTCATCCAATGTTACTTGCACCCCTTGTCTTATTTATAGTTTTAACACATTTGGGCTTGTTATAAGGGGGTAATAGAATTGTATGACTCATCCTTAAGCATTCTAAAGAACAGACAAACAACATAAATGAATAATCACGTGCAAAAACAAAAGAAATACAAATTCTAATTGTTAATTATTTATTTTTTCAACTTTTTCTTTTTTCCAGACTTGTCTTTTTTGACTTGAGAAATGTCCTCATCCAGGGTCTTACTATTTACATTTGTTTTCTCCGAGCTCTTCTTTTTCTTGCTCCCTCCAGTTGCTGCAGCACTGTCATCTGTGTCAACATTCCTGACAACTCTCTGCTTCTCTTTTCTTCTCTGTCTTTTCTTAAGTTTTGTCTCTTCACTCTGTGTCTTTGGATGGACTTCTTCCTCATCTGCAGGATTATCTTGGGTGCCTAGCTTTGTTTTTTTAAATGAATTTTTACTAGTGGAATCATTTGTTTCTTGTTTGCGCTTTTTTGTCTTTGTGTCTATGGATAGTGATTCAGTTGGCTGCTGATAAAAAAAATTGATATAATTGTAAACAAAATATAACCATAACATTATTTTAACGCATTATGAATATTTAAAAAACCAACACATCTATAGGTGTCATTTAACCAACAGTGACTGAAAAGCAAACAGCACATGTTAAACAGACTGTTGGCTCAGACCCTGTATTTGGTTTTATGTAAACATTTTAAAACATAAATCACCACTGAAACACCCTGTTCCCCGACCTCAATATCTCCAACTATATAAGGCTACAATATGTTTAACCATAAGAAAAAGTATAATGCGCATAATGCAAAAGAAAACATATTTAAACAAAAAAAGATTCCAGTTAAATAATAATTATTGAAAACACAAACATTAAACCAGTAAAATCATGAAAATATTTTAACAAATACTTTTAAGAAATAAAAAAGAAGTTTTTGTAAGTGGTTATTAGTAAATAAAAAGGACAATTTTTAGTGACTATTTTTTATTATAATTACTATTATTTATTAAGAATACCTATAAATTTATAACAAAACTTACACTTTCTTCAACTTGAGCTGCCTCTGTAACTCCAGATTTTTGTTTTCTTTTCTTCTTGCCAGCATTGCCTAGAGAAAATAAACAATTTAAAAAACACTCAAAACAAATAAATAAATCCACTTGACAAAGCTTACATTTTCACACAAGAAAATATTTAAGTTAACATTTTAAACTTAAAGAAAAGTTAAAGTTTAAACTTAAAGAAAATAGTATTTATTGCTTATAAATAAAATACATTAAAAATAAAATACATTAAAATGTAAATTGAAAAAAAAAATTCCATTTTTTTTTACCTTGCAAAATTTCTTGAAGTATTTGTTGTTTCTTAGCGTTTGCTCCTTGAATCTCCGCCCATTCTTTCCTACGCTGGACAAATTTACTGATGGCAAAATTTGCATACAAGTAACGGCCCCACTGGTCACCCTCCAGCCTTTCCTGATGCTGAAATAACAAACAAAAAACACTAATTCATAGATATTTATTTTTTCTTTTAAGCAGCAATGTTTAACTCTTAAGACAATGTAATTAACTTACAACATTAAAACAGTTTACCTTGGATAGATCTTCCGCTATTAAAGTTTTCTGATTGAGAGAACAACACTTCCATATATTTTCCAGGCAGCGTGATCCACTTCTGTTGCAAGCAATGTTTATATACACCCCCTGCAAATGTAACGTAGACAGTGTTTAGAAATGTATACTAGAGCCATTAATCCACTCAATGAATAGTGTAAATCATATATTCCCTTTCTCCAAAAACGTACTTGTAACTAAATTTTGTGTCCCCCCATTTTAATGGTACAGTAAAACAGTTACATACTTTCAGTTTGATATGTAAAATCAAGATTAAATATTTTTTAGTTGTAGTTCATATAGTGTTAACTTCATTTTGAACAAGTAACTAAAAAAATGGCAAATAAAACCAACATATAAAACTTTATAATATCAAGTTTTTAAATTCACTGAAAATAAGAAAATAAAACTAATATGCTTTCATTATAAAAAAACAAATTAGTTTTATTTTTTAATTTTCAGTGCATTTAAAAGCTTGTTATTATAAAGGTTTTCATGTTGGTTTTATTTCTAAAATAAAAACGTTATTTTACCTGTAGGTTTTTAATACAGGAGCTTTTAATTTTATCAGGTATAGTCTCGCTCTGAAAGAAAACATCTATCACGTGACTTCCACATTTATCACAGCAGAGGCCTGCGATCTCAGTGGGTGAGAGACTGGTCAAGCTTGAAGCAACCAGCTTTGTGTTGGTGAAATTAAAAACCTGTTGTAAAATGAGTGAGCCATGGAAGTTCACAGTCTTCAAAAGACTTCTGGATGTCTGTAACAAAGTACATTGATACATTTTCAATGTAAATTCATAATTAGCTCAATATAGAATAGTTTTATTTGCCAAATATAATAGATGTAAAGTAAAATTACAGTCATCCCTTGCTACTTTGCGATTCATTTATTGCGGCTTCAGAATATCACTGATTGTTCAAAAATATTCATAAAAATTCAAAATTGAGGAAGAACACTTTTTTTTACATCTACACTCATTACACACACATATTATATTATATTATTAATACATTATTTTAAGCATGTAATATATACTATTAATATTGCATTTAGTTGAAACTTTTCTTTAATGTTCTAATGATAACATTTATATGGTTTCATATACACTTATCGATATTATACATATTTCATATACAAAAATGTAAAAATTGAGAGGATGGCACTACTTCGCGGTTTTTCACTTATAGCTGTCGGTTCTGGTCCTTATTTACCACAATAACTTAGGTATGACTGTACTAACAATCTAACAATCAATTTTTTTTGTATAACCAGTTAGATTAAATTTGTTTTGTCGCAAAACTGATTTTTACCATATAAAGCAATGGGTGAAGATGATAAAAGAGATTGAACACATAATACAAGACAGAACTGTTTAGTTTGGCCAGATTCAAGGACACATCTCAAAATTGGCATATAAAACAGACGTGTAACTATTTTGACCAGAAACCTTCTGCCTAAAAAGGAAACAGGGCTAGTGACAAGCTAAACTCTGTCCTATCTTCACAATATTCATTTATAGCCAAAACACTACTTCAAACTTTCAGCTGTATAGAAAAGTGTGTTAGTGAATTGACAGTAAAGGAGCATAAAAAAATCACAGGTACAAAATCAAAGTGTATAAATTGTTTTTTTAAACATTTAATAGTGAAACAAGAAATAATGAGCAATGTGTAAAATGTAAATAGTTGAACAATAAGGCCAAGGTAGACAGGAGGTTCACAGCAGAAAAGCAATTGACAGGGCAGGACTATTTTGGGGGGCTGTGAAGAAAATTGCCAGAGACCAGCAAAAGTGTAAACAGCTTTCTGTGCAGGGCCACATGTCTTGGGGAATAAAATGGAAAAGATGATGATGATAGTTGATCAAAAAAGAGAGTCTTATTTACTAACATAATGTTAAGAGCTATTACCCCATCTCCTTGGCTTGAATCCTCTTTATAAAACATCTCATATGTTTGTAGAGAGGCCAAAAGTGGAACAATTTTGCTTTTTCTTGTCTCTGGTGTCTTACAGTGGAAAGCTGCCATTAGCGCCTGGAATGGAAGATATTTTTTTTTACTGCTGTGTTTATATTATTACACTGACTGTAAAACTCATATAGTTGCACATTTTGACATCAATTACACCATCAACAAATACACGGGTACTAGACAATTGTTTTTTTAGATACATGCTTTAGAACAAGCGATGTTTTGCTTTGAAATACGAGAAATAATTGAGATATGATGAACCATTTTAGCAGGTTTCACAGTTCACAGTTTGTGGAAAAAACACCCAGTAAAAGCTGCAACTTGTAGAAGATTGTAGCTATCTTTTAAACAAAAAGTGCTAATGAAAAACAGAACAACGCCGCAAACTGACTCCAAACTAAAATAAATTCAATTTTTTTTTATACTTAACTTCATTTTTTAACAAATGTCACGTATAAAATAGTTGTATAATGTAATCCCAGATTATTTTATGCCCATTCTAGGCAGAGCGCAAAATAAGCGTACAGTAGAAAGAAATTTATGTTAAAAAAATGCATGCCTATGTTTACAAAACAATGCAGTTTCAAAACGGCTAGCCATAAATGGACCCGTCAATAAGGCTCCCAACAAAAGGGCTTCAGTCATTAGGACTCCTGACATAAGGGTCCCTGTCAATGAGGTTCTCATAAAGACGCAAGTCTTCTGGCAAAACTGCCTCGTTTGATATGACCCTAGCCAGTAGTACCCATCAGTTAGCTTAGATAATATGATGCAAGTTGTTCTGACAATGCACCTTAAAAAACAGTGCAAAGTAAAACTTGGTTGTTTTGTCATTTAATGTTCCTTGTGTGTTAGACTACCATCTGCTAAAGAATACATATTATATGGTCATTTGAAAGTAACTAATCCTTCTGTCAATCAGTAATTAACCTAGATTAAGTATCTAATGATTTGTTTTAATCAATTAACAAAAATAAGCACAGGATGCAATAAGTCACTTAGTCAAGGTGACTAGATCTAATCCTTATATAATTCTATTTAATAGTTTGACCACAATTGTACAAACCAGCCAAGGGGAGAATGGGCTGGGTACAATTCATACTGCGCCACTATTGTCTTGATATAGAACATAATTACCTCAAGAAACTCCTCCTGGGCAGAATTGGTCCGACAACAAGCCTCAGCTAGCTTGGTTATCACACCAATATGATTGACTGCTAAAATATCTTCCATATACTGGGTTATGTCAGCTAAAATTTTCTGAAACTGAAAATAAAATTACTTAAAATGTTTTACAAATGTAGCTAAATAATCTTTTTTTTAAAAAACATGTATTTATTTTCAAAAAGGAAGCCCTAATTTTTTAAAATCATACTGGTGCTGATCCTAACACTAAAAGTTAAAACATTTGTAGAGCACATTTTTAAATAAATAAAATAATGGATTTTGTATTTTTTAGCATTTAGAATGAAAATATTATAATGGAGTCATTCATATGTAGCATTTTTCTACATTTGAATGGGGTGGGGGTGGGGGGTGTTATAATGGGGAGGATATTTTTATTATTTATTTTCAAACAAGACTGAAACATGAACAAGCAGCACTTTTTAAATAAACCACACTGCAAGACATGCAAAAAACATCTTTTCTTGTCCTAACATCATTTTAATGAACAACGTTAATTGGTGCTAATTAAAAAAACCCAGAAAACTATGCCTACCATTTTACTGTCAACAACAGTCAGCAGTTTCTGTAGCACATAGTTTGCTATGGGATGAGCAGCAAAGTAGATAAGCTTGTCCTTAAATAGGAGCTTGTACAGTTCTTTCAGCTTTTTCTTATCTGCCAGTGTGATCAACAGCTCAATGAGATAGGAGCCAATCTCATTCTGTACTATGTCTGGAATCCTGTAGGTGATTCAAATATTATCTTTTAGGTTAATACATTGAAGCTCTGGTTGGGTGGTGAAGCGACGGTCTGAATGTTCTGAACTGTTTGTGTGCCCCAGGGCAGATCAGGGTGAGGGAAGCTACTGTTCCATGATAGGATCTTCTGTATTCTAATAACTGCTGCCTTTGCTGATGTTCTGATTAAACAAAAAGCTGTGGAAGCTCAGTCAGATAAAAAACAGGCTGAAGTCATAGTCAATCAGCCAAATAAAACCCACTAAGTATGGTGATGACAACACTCTCCCTCCTTATGCAGAGGTAAAAAAAAAACAATCTAGTACTACTTCACCCGACAAGCGCTGACTAAATGAAAATATTTGTATCAACCAACCAACTCACTTCTTTGTGACATCATCTGGTGCAGACTCTGCACTCTCTGTCATTGTGCAAGTTTTCTCTATAATTGTGTTGGACAGCTCATTGTAGGCTTCAGGTGATGTCTTGTGGAGAGTAAGCAGGACTGTCTGTAGTACTGGGCAGTAATTAGAGTCTGCTAAGTGGTCTGTGGACGATTAAAGAAAAATGTTTAACCCACAAGTCTCATCTGATATACTGTAAAAATTGGAAATGTAGCTGAGTGCATGTTTGATAACCTAAAAGTATGGTTTTTGTTAGCATCAGAAATGTCAGGATGTTGCTGAGTCTACCCGACTCTGATGGGTACCTGAAATAAGCTATGGAAATTAAAGACAGCTGAGCATAGTGAAGACTAGCTGACAACACCTTTCCTTTGATAGCCAAGGTTAATGACTATTTCTTTTTTCCTACTAACTAATAAGTCAGAAAAGGCAAGTTTTTTCAACTCTGGTCAGATTTAAGGGAGCAGTACAGGAATTTCAAATTAACTATGAATAAGATCTCTAGTAAATTCTATAAACATGTCAACTCATGTTGCCAAGGAAAATGCAAAACCTCTTTGGTTTAATTACTTCCAAAATGTAAAAATAACTTTTTTCTTACAAAGTTCGGTGAAATATACAAATAATTTGTACTTGTAAAAACCCATAAATAAAAATAAAGTACCTTCATAATTACAAAGCTTCATGAGTTTATCTGTTAGCAACTCAAATGATGATTTAAAGTCCCTGCTGAGTGCCTTGTAAGAGAACTTTGCTGGTCCAACTGTTTCAGCTGATTGGATAAGAAAAATAAATACTCGTTAACTGATTTGTTTGAATTACCAGGAAATAAAAGTTTTTAGTCTTTTTAAAAAATGTAAAGTATTATTAATAAATATGTCCTAAATTTCCGTGAGGGGTGATTTACCAGTTTCAACAAGAAGGGACTCAAACACAAGATGCTCGAGTGTTTCAATATGGACTTTTTCCAAGTAACAGCATTATCACTTCTCTCTTATTTCCAATGTCTTATCCTTTCATCTATAAGTACAACCAATGACTGCCACACCCATCCACTGATGCATGCATGCCTCTCCTTTATCTCTACTCACAACACATCAGCCGTCATTTGACCAGTCACTTCCCTTGTTACACTCTTTCACAATGTTCAACAACACACACATCAACAAACGTGGACTACACACAGTCTAAATCAGGGTATCCATACACAATTTACATTACTATGTTCCACATACACACCTTCCATCTATTTCACCACACTTTCATTCAAATCTTATGGTTTAACATAAGGTCATCATTATGATTTTATAGGGGTAAAGTTTATATTTAAATTACTAAGTATTAACACAATATTTAAATGGAATTTTTAAATGATAATTAATCAACACTGAGTCAAAAGCCATTATGGTATATTAGTTCGGGAAATAAGCTACAATTTACATTTGCTACTAATGTAACAAACATTTGCAATTTCCCAACAATTTGCATTTACTTCTTTGTAAAATATAAATGACTCTACAAAATAATTCTAGATACTTTTTAACCCAAATATAGTAATATAAAGACAAATAACAGTAATATTGGTAGTATTTGATTAAAGTAAAGTAACCCTTTCAGACCTGGTGGTCAAAAGAGAAGTTGAAGTAGAGTTCACCTGTTTTTGTTACCCTTTTATATGAAGGGATAGGTGAGTTCTATGCCCAGCCACCTTTACTCTCCCTAACTTGAGTCAGGTGCCAATGTGAGTTGGGTGGAATTGAGTCAGAGATCTAACTCAAGACTTAAGGGTAGGAAGTTATGCGCTCTAAACCCTGCCACACTGTCCCATACAAATCATTTACTAGGCTAAAACAAAATATGGAGGAAATGCGGTGAAACTCTTCCTATTCAAACCACAGTTGTAAATTTTAAAACATTACTGCACTTTATAAAACTGTCAATACCTTTGCGCTGGTTCCGAGACACCCGACTCCTTACAACTTCCTCTTTGACAGGAACACCTCCCAACGCTTCAAGAAAAGATCTCAGCACATGGCTGGCATATGTGTGTGTCATGATATCTCGCATGTGCGACTCCATGAATTTACACACCTGCTCTACAGAAGTCTATCAAGGAGAAAATCAAATATCAAATTAATCTATGTGTAATTTCTATATAATTTCACAAACAATTAATGCTAAATTACATTAAAGGATTCCGCAATTATCTACAAATTTTAGTACCATTTCTAGTTATTCCAAAATATTACATTTTTCACTTTACTTAAACTTCTAAAAACTAAAAAAAATAAAAAAATTCTTTAAACTTTTATTTCTTACATGAAGATTTGAAGACTGTCCTTGATTCTTTTCCACTTCATCTTTATTTTCATAAATAGCTGGCAAGTAGCTGATCAGGGACTGGAAGACGTGACTGGCAAAGCGATCAAATGTCACTATTGAAAGCTCTTTTGAAAACTGGCAGAACAAATCATGCATGTGGTAGGGCTGGCTGTGTGAAAACAACATCTCAAGAATTCGACTCACAGTCTGGTTTTGAGATACTTGAATAGCTTCATCTTTCAGTGTTGTATAGACATTCTTCAAGAACTGCTCTAGAGTTAAAATTTAAAGGAAATGATAAATAATTAAGTCTATTAGTAGTATTGCTCGTTACCTGGAGGCGTGGCTGGTTGCTAACAACATTATAGCGTCCACACCAGATGCATGACTTCTGACAATTTTTCATCTTAGTTCCAATGAGCTTCTTAGAATTAAAAAAATGTTTACCATAAGCAAATTGGCAGGTTTTTCAGGGCTAAATATGCCAGAAAAGCATTTTAAAATTTGCTTTGGAGAATGAAGGCTAAAAAGTTGGTGTCATCTATATATTATTCTCTTCTTGGAGACGTTAGAAAACACCGAGCTGTAAGCGCCCCTAGCAGTCCCCTCTCTTCCTCTCTAGGTATATCACAAACCACCCCCACATGGTCTGATGAGCTGTGGTTCACGCTAAATGTTTACAATCATAGAGCCGGGTTTAGTGATGGCTATTAGGGGCAGATAATATGGTTTGAAACTATTTTAAACTTAGGGGAGGTAACTAAGAGAAGGCTGCTTTCACGGGGGGGGGGGGGGGAAGGAGGGTTTTAGTGTTTTAAAGTTTAAAGCAAATATTTTCAGTGACAGCATTGGCACTGTCGAATTCACAAATTATGAATTACTGAAAAGTAGAAAATAAAACTAAATAGATAAGATGCATGTAATACGCCGCGGGTCGGCTCATTAAAAATAGGAAGTGGCTATTAGGACCCGGGTCCCAATAGCCACGGCCGCTATTGGGACCCGGGACCTAATAGCCTCGGCCTCTATTGGGACCCTGCATTAAGTTCGTTAAGCACTTGTACAACCTGTATTAAAATTATACCTTTTATGTTTATTTGATTTTTCTTGTGGATTTGCTCGTATTTTGTTGTCTTTTATTGTAATTAGTTATGCGGATTATCTAGCGTTAGTTCTTGTGTTGCTATATCTAAATAACATATATTTAGCTGTATATACAAAATCATTAAATACTAAATACTTAAAATAATCTTAAGACGTCGTGGTCGAGTGGAGAACGCAGTACCTCCCGAATCTCGATCAGTTACGGGATCGGAACCTATGAAGCTCTCTATTTTGTGTGAAGTAAAGTGTATTTATCTAAGTTTAAAATTCCCTTTGAGTTGTGTCTTTTTTAATTATTTTTTATTACAAAATAGATTTTTTTTCTAGATTTAGGTTTTTAAACACGCCAATTATAAAAACATCGTTGCTCCATTGATCGCCAGCTCGCGTTTTCTGGTCAGCGCAAGAAAAATACCGACACGGTGTAGCCAGGGTCACTCTGGGTTCACTTTGGTTCAGATGTGAACAGTGTACGCAGTGTAGGCGTCTAGCATACGTCATAGCAAAACCATTGCTATGAGTTTGTCGAGATTTGTCGACGTCGTAGTCCCCCCCCTCTCCCAAGCCAGTAAGAGGGAAAAACGGATTTGGGGTCATTGTGAGTTCAAATGTTACATCTTGCTTCTATTAAAGCGTACTACAACGCATGCGAGATATTCGTGTTCAAGAAAACGGGCCCGGGATCTGTAGTCTGCAGCCTATATGAGCTATCTTATACAATTTTATATATATATATATATATATATATATATATATATATATATATATATATATATATATATATATATATATATATAATTATAAATATATATATATATTTGGACGGACAGACCTATAAAATCAAATTACGTTTAACAGAAGAAAAAATAAATAAAACACATTTTAACATGCGCGCTCAACATTCGCTCGGCCATAGAAGCTCATACCATAGACCATAATTATGTTATAGACCTAACGACACCTGCTCATCATAACATTTGTCAGTAATGATATCGGGTATTTAAAGCAAGATCTCAACATTTAGAATTAGATCTAGATCTACAAGGAAAAAAATCACAACAGAAAAGATATATTCTGCATCTTAAAAGAACTTTTGTATAACTAAATCTAAACAATTCTATTGGCTGGTCCCAATAGCGCCCGAGGCTATTAGGACCCGGGTCCCAATAGCGGCCGTGGCTATTGGGACCCGGGTCCGAATAGATGCATCCTTAAAAATAATAGAACTATTAAAATAGCCCGGCGAGTACAAAAGTGAATTAATTGAAGATTGTAGATCTAGAACTATGGTTTTATCAGTTTATGATAATTATTAAAATTTAAGGAGTCAACTGTTTTCACATTACTAGTCGCGGGCGATTTTACATAGATCTAGATCTACCTAAAGTAGTAACTAAAATGCCCTAAAACGATAGATTACCGAAAAAGGAAAACACAGTGTGACAGTGACAGACTCAGACAGACTATCTTTTTTTTTTATAAAAAAAAAGAAAGTTGCTTGTACTTAACTAGATCTAGAAATCTAGATCTATAATCTGGAGATCTAAAAGTAACAAAATAGACAACCGTGTCACTACAAGACACTATTTTTTTTACACTAAATAAGTAGATCTAGCCTAGATCTAGAAACTTAGTAAGAAACTAACCTTCCAAAACAGGGTCATCATCGAAAGCTCCACCGCCCTCCAGAGTTGACGACACATTTCGATAGTAAGCCATTACATCTTCTGATAAATAGCCGATTTTAGGTCCGTTTGGTTTCATTTCGTCGGGAAATCCCTTTTTCCCTCTAAATGAGCCCCTTCCCCTTGACATTTTTAAAAAAGATTAAAGATCTAAATTGTATTCAAAACTCGTATTCTATGGTAACTGCACATGGGTCTGTTTTGGTTTTCTAAACGTAACTCTTCAGCACTAAAATACTCAAAAATTTTAAACAAGGGAACTAAATGGTATATTCTTATTTCGACAAAATGAACATAATACTTGCCTTGCGTCCCTTGAAATTGGGGGAACAGGCCTAGCTCTTAAGCTCTAGATCGAATCTAAGCTATTACATTTATTCAATGTAAGACGTTGCTAAACTCTTATATCTGAAAATTTTATATGGCCATTTAGAGTCTTGACCTAAATCTAGATCTTTTATTCTATAGATTTGCTTTTTTTAAGCTTAAATAGTTTTTGGTTGAGTAATTAGATTTAGTTGAAATTAATATTGAAGTTAAAATTGTTGTAAATTATAAAATTAATAATAAAGCGAATGCAAGTGCTAAAAGCGGATACGGAAGTAAGCCGGTAAGCTTTCCTAGTTTCAATAAAAATCATGTAAAACTAAAAATGTTTTAATTTTATAATTTTATATTATCTAGAATCTAGACCTATATATTCTAGATCTATAATTAAATGTTTACTTTTACTAAACAAAAGTCAGTAAAGTGACTTTTAAAACTTAAGCTAAAACATAAATCCATTCATTCATAATAATAATACTGCTCAGTTCTGTAGTGTACAGTACAGTCTTGTTGAGTCTTCTTCACTGAAGTCTTCTTTAAACTTTAAACTAGTTTAAACTTCTAGATCTAGTAACAGTAAGCAGTTAGTAGATCTAGATCTAGTAACTAAAAGTTAAGTCTCAACTATATCTCCACTCTCCATTGCAGTCTCTATTTTTTTTAAATGTATTATCTAGGCCTATAGACTAGAGTCACTAGTCACTAGACTTAAAATAAAAAAGACTGAATTAACCAAATAGATCTAGATGTTATGCTACATAAATGTGGCCAAGTTATAGTAATGTGTAAACTAGAAAAATATTTGCTCCTATTTACTATTTAGTTTAGGCCTTTTTAATTCCCAAGTTTGAGTCTACCTATGACAAAAGTAGGCCTACCTCAACTTTTTCAAGTCAATTTTGTTGAATATTACTAACAAGTTTTTTAGTTTAAAAAAAATTATAAATTTATTATTTAAATATTTAATCTTTTGTCCAGAAATAAGTGATAAGAAAATGGGCTTGCTGACAAGTGAAAAGCAACGCAACCGCTTTATAGCTTTACTTATAAAGCACAATCTAAAGTTATGCATTGTTTCATACACTGCTGGACTATTGTGGTTCTTAGCTTTGGCCTATCAACCCTTAAATGCTGGAACTTACTTTTCTGAAAATGCCTTACTGCCAGGTAATAATATAATATTTTCATTAACATTTTTGTATAACTATGCAGATGTAATCATATATGGATCACCCTTATACTTATGAGATTGTTAAAGTGCTTTATAAATTTCTATACTTAAAATGTTCTATTAGCTCAATGTATGTTTGTTAAAATGTATAATGTGGCAATCATACTTTTTTATGTTTCTCTAGGTTTGGTGGAGTCAGATCTACCATCTCTTCTGCAGTCAGCTGTAGTGTATAAAAGTGAAGTGGAGGCTGAGTTAAAGAAGGATACAAAGTGATTTTTTTAAAAAATAACATTTGTTACACACACACACACACCCACCATTGCTTTTTGGTAAATGAACTTGTAGTACTGAATTAATGTAATTCTTTTGCAGAGTATCACCACACAAGTGGATTTATAAAAAGTTCCAGGACATGGGATTGGAGACTTTCTCACAGAACTTCTCTGTTGTTTATCCCTTCAAGTCCATCTCCACAACAGTAAGTTTGATTTTACTGAGGTATTTCTTTAATTAAATAAAATTGTGTTTATTTGTATTTGGTATATAATGCTTTTTATGTTTTAAGCTTATCAATTTTAACAAAACACTCAGCTTTCAATTATTTTGTGATATAATCAGTTTTTTGTCAATCTTTTCACATTTTTTTTGTCTATACATTAATGTGTATCAGACTCTCAAATGATTTAACTATATATCCTTACTCTTTTTTAATCATTCTTTTGACAGCATATATTTAATTATGAAAATTATGTTCTGTATTAATTCTTTATTAAAGTCATTTTTTTTTTAATCTTTGTTTTTCAGGTTGTGAAGGGTGAAAATATATTTTCTATTCTTCGAGCTCGAAGGTCAGCCAGTACTGAGGCTATTGTTCTTTCTGTCCCACTTCGGCCCTTGGGCAGCAAAGAGAAGACAGGGACGGGAGGAGGAATAGCTTTAGCACTTGCTTTAGCCACAGAATTTAAAAGTAAGTGGCAAAATATGGTTTAAAACGTTGTTGACAGGAATAATCAAACCTTTGTTCCTCGTTATTCATTTTTTTGGTACTCCATCATCCTTATATTGTGTTACTATTGTCTTTTTTCTTCTCCAGCTATTTGTTCCCAGTTATCCTAGGATATTTTCTGTATTTACACCGAATCAGACTGTTCACATTCTTTCATGGTGATCTATTAAAATATATGAAGACGAGCCGGCCCGCGGCATAACATACGCCGCTATTTAGTTGTTTTATTTTCTACTTTTCAGTAATTCATAATTTGTGAATTCAACAGTACCAATGCTGACACTGAAAATATTTCTTTATTTCTTTAAAACACTGTAAGGACCATAACCCCCCTCCTTCCTTCCCCCCCCCCTCTCCCTCTCCCCCCCCCCTTTTTACGTTTGAAATCGTTGGCTCTGCTTGTAAACATTTAGAGTGAACACAGCTCACTAAGATCATGTAGGGGTGGGGAGGTAGGGATCGCGTTTACAGCTTGTTTTTTAGCTGCTCCCAGAAGAGAATTATATATATAGATGTATAAATTTATCCTAGGGGATATTTTCTAATGTTTACACCTAATTAGACTATTTAATTTCTTTCATGGTGTTCTCTTAAAATAAAAGATCTATACAATTTTATTTAGATCTCTTTAATAAAACATCACAATCTAATGTATGGACAGTATTAAGTTAGCTTCTTTCTAGTTAGCACTGTAAATTATAATGCTTACTTATTATTTAGGGCATTTATTAGATAAATACTTCTATATATGTTGTTGTTTTTTTTGCCATTATTCACATCAGCATAAAAAAATCATTTTACTTACTAAGACACTTTTAAAGCGTAATATTAGTAATGTTGTACCTAATAGCTCAGTTCCCAGTAATCAGTTGCATAGTTTGTCATTATTTCAGAAAAACCATACTGGAGCAAGGACATCATCTTCTTGTTCTCTGACTTTGATGAAATTGGTGCTATGGCTTGGTTAGATGGATATCACCAGACTAAGTCTCGCTGTAAGTAGCTTGGTTTTTTTGGTACTGGCAGTTGATTGTTATTCTAACTAAAGCATTACTTATAATAACTCATTTTTCCACTGTCTGTGTTGGAAGAGTCAATATTTTTGATAGCCACACAATTACATATAATCTCTATATTATCTACCCTTATAGTGTGAAGATATTATTTAGGCTTAAAATGCTGTTAATGTTGATTTGAATAATGAAAACAGTTTCAAAATAAGAAAAATAGTTTCTGCTCTTTACTGTAGATCCAATAAAATAAACCTCTGAGAAAAGAGGCAATTTTTCTGTTTTATTTTGTTTTGCTTATAGAAGACATTTTTCTTTAAAAAAATTGATTTTTGATGCTAAAAAATTGTGTATTGATTTACTATTTTAAAAAATTTTTCCCTCTGAAGATATCTTGTCTGACAGTCTTGAGGGCAGGAGTGGTCCAATCATTGCTGCTATTAACCTTGAACTTCCTCTGGAGAACATCAATTATTTCAACATCAAGCTGGAGGGATTCAATGGTCAGCTGCCTAACCTTGACCTTGTCAACCTGGTGGTCAGGCTTTGCAGGAGGGAGCGCTCACAGGTGGCACTACATAAATCTCTGGTAAGTTTTATTTGTGATGTTAGATATGAATTGACACACAGTTGTTTGTTTTGTTGTAAATGGTAGTTGAACAGTTTGTTAATTATTTTAACTCATCTAGACTTCATAAAAGTTTTTTTTTTTAAATATATTATTCAAACTATTTATCTTACTCTTATGTTTTATATAGTAGAATGGTTAGTCCAACCATGAAAAAGTGTAGCGATAGAATAAGCAGTTTAAACAACAATTAATGCATTAATTTAGACTTAATTCAACAACAATGATGAAATGTATTACATTGATATTTGGAACTTAAATTGGTAAAGCCCTTTACTCATGGGACTAATAATATGACCAGGACAAAATAAAAAAAAATTTTAAAGTTTGAAGATGTTCATTGATCAAATAAAAAAAGTGTTAGTAATAATTTCCTACTTATTCTATTTTCTAGGAAGACAAAGGCCACATTCACACTGAGTTTGGGGATTCTTTTGATGATTATAAGAAAGCACTGTCCACTATGCTAAAAATGATGTGGTACCAGGCAAGTGGCGCCCCCTCTGGAAACCATGGTCTGTTCCAGAAGTTTCACATTGAAGCTGTCACTCTAGAAGGGGTTGTTGCTAGAGGTTATAGGTCAACTGATCTCAGCACTACTGCCAAGTAAGAAACATGCCAGTTTAGTGTTGTTAAAAAAAATCTATGATGCAATACATGTACTTAGTTATGGAAAAAGCCATTGTTTATTGTTTTGTATAAATATTTATTGATTAAAGAAATATTGACATATAGGGGTCATCCATTTATGACGTCCACAATTTTTTTTGGATTTTGGACCCCCCCCTCCACTAAAGTCCACATAATTCCCTATTAAAAGTCCACACTCGTCAGCAAAAGTCAATTTTTTCGGACCCGTCCCCTCCCGTGTGTGGACGTCATAAATAATGGATGACCCCATATAATATTGTTCTCAAATACTTAAGAAAAAAATTCTTGTAATCATTCTGATAATGACATTTAAAAAAAGGGAAACTAATTAACTTTTTCTGTGAGAATTCAAGCTTGTCTGTGAACCACTGGCCTTTCCTACAACGAATTTTTAGTATTTATTGTGTTTGTTCAAATGTCAGTAATAATGAAATAATACTAGTTTGTGGTTTGCTGTGCTCATCTTAACTAACTTTCTTTCTTACAGAATCATCGAGGGAATATTCAGGAGCTTAAACAATCTGCTGGAGAGGTTCCATCAGTCTTTCTTCTTTTATCTCCTCCCATCTACCAGTAGATATGTGTCTATTGGAATGTACATGCCACCATTTGGGTTGATGGCTTTGGCTGGCCTGATCAAAATATCCTTTCATTCAATTTTAATTAGATATTTTTGGGTTAGCTGCACCCTGAGTTAATTTAGCTTATTTGAAGCATATCAGATAACCAGAAACACATAAACTAAAATTTAAAAAAAAATGACTATTAATTCAGCTGAAAAATCAAATGTAAGGTAAATGTGACGATATCTGATAAATATGCAACAAAAAATACTAAAATAGCTGAAACCTATATAATTGCTAACTAATTTAATTGACAAATAAGCTGCCATTTTAAACAGAAATTTGTACAAATTAACAATGTTCTTTATCATTGAATAAAAAGTAGATTGTTAAATAGATAAAAAAAAAACTTTCCTTAACATGTTACGGTATAGCCCTGTGGGTGGGATCTGACAGCGATGATTCTAAGACAAGAGAGGAGGAGGAAGCCTCACAAACAGATGATAAACAGAAGGGTGACACACAAACAGATAAACAGAAGGGTGACACACAAACAGATGACAAACAGAAGGCTGAAGAACTAAAGAAAGGAGAAAACAAAAGTAGAGGCGACGAACCAGATCCTGCCATAGAAAGTATGAAAAATGTTTCAATTCTATTTGCTTCTCTTTCAAGTTTACAAATCTTAGAAAATAAATGAGATATGTATAGCATTAGTTTCCTATACATGTGATAAATTGATTTTTATTTTTACACATTTCATTTTTTTTTTCATTTTCTAAATTCATTATCCTTTACAATAGCAGAAAACAGATTTGTCTTTAAACATGACTCATAATATCCTTTACTAGATATTGATTGATGAATTTTTCAGTACTAATGCATGGAGTTAACTTTATAGAAGGTACATTATCAATAATTAAGGATAATTCTTTCTTAATGAGATAATTTGCGTAATTAAATGCGTAAATTAAGTTATATGACAAATTCTGCTCAGGTTTTAATGTGATAAAGTAAGAGAAACAAAATGTGCTCTGACCAAGTATGTTCCTAATAACAGTCTGTTTTAGACAACAAGAGTTCAGAATTTTTTACTTCAAGCCATGCATTTTAAAATCATGTTTAGTAAAAGGTATTCATGTTTGTGACAAATTTATGTTTTTGGTCAAATAAAGCAGATTCATTTATTATGGTCAGCAGTCACTAGAAATACCTTGTTGCAAGTACATGCTGTTTATTATAAATAATCATTAAAACATATTTTAGGTTACTTTGGCTGTATTATAACTTTTTAATTAATGATTAATTTCCTAAATAATTATAACTAGTGATGTAATGTTAGTATTAAAGTAAAATGTTTTAAAAGATACATTTTTATCTTGACCCAACATGTGTACATTATTAACATTTGGGTTTGAAGATTAACATAGAGAAGTTGTTTTGTAGTTTTTTTTACATAATTATAGGTAAGCAGGCTTTATGATTTGGTAATGAAATATATTTTACTGTGAGTATTAAATTTCACAGATTACTTGAAAGTACTTCATTTTAAAAACTTATTTCGGGTTAGATCAGGGGTCTCCAAACTACGGCCCGCGGGCCAGATGCGGCCCGCGAGGACCTCTCATCCGGCCCGCCGAGATCTTTTTGTCCACGGAAAAAACGTTTGTTGGTGATGGCTGAGGAAAAATCAACGACATGCCTGGAAGAAACTGGCCCCCGAACTGAAATTTGATAGTTAATGTGGCCCTCGGACTGAAAAGTTTGGAGACCCCTGGGTTAGATGATTATGGTGAACCAACAATTTACTTGTAATATGTTTAGTAATAATCCTGTGCTCTCAAATTTTTTTATTTCTCAATTTATATGTAACAAAGCTGATGCATAGTGTATTGATATTTTTTATATTTGTTCCTTTGAAAATTGAGGAAAATTGTCCCAAAACTATAATTTTGGATCTGAATGCTTTCTGCATTATCTTAATTTGTCTTATATTAACATCTATAGTTCAATAGATAGATGCCTTTCTTTATTTTAGAAAAATCAAAATCTAAAAAGAAAGAACTGAAATCTGGCCAGAAAGAGGAGACAAATAATGATCAAACTAAAACAGAAAAAGGGAAAAGAGGATCAGGGGATGCTGCCATTATGGAAGATGAGGTTTGTAAGTTTATACCCTGTTGATCCTAAACATTGGAGCAGTCACTTTCTGTTCAATTGAGTAGTTTTTTTTTATGTAATAAAAGTAATATGGAATTGCATTAAACATTTTTTTTAAAACCTCATTCCTCCAAAAATAAAACGTTTGAAAAGTGATAAAATAAACATTGTATAAGTAAACTCAAAAACAATACTAAACAAAACACTTCCTCCACCATCTCAATGTAGAATATTTTTATCTGAGAATCCCAGTTACAACATGAGAATAAAAATTATTATAACCATTCCTCATAATTTTCTCTACTTTTCATGTTTGTTTCTTATTTGCTTGCATACCATGGATATTCTTGACTCACTTAACTTATTCTTCGTTATTAATTGTAATGTTGGAAGAGATTTCCTCCAACACGTTTAAGTATTATGTGTCAACTTGTTGTGCACCATATAGGCTGTTGACTGATTTTAGCCTTCTTTTCCTTCGGGAAATGCTTCAATAGCCTTTTTCCAACCAAAGCAGCAGTTGTTTGATTTTGAGTTTTCTCTCCTAGATGGGTTGCTATCCCCAGCTAACGAGCACCACCTTTTCAAATTTATGCTGTCATTATTCAACTGTCCATCACTTTATAGTATGTTTCTTGAAGTTTAATTTTGTTGTATACATAGTTTGACTCACCTTTGTCACAGAAACCCAAGTCCAGTAAAGGAGTGACTACAATCGTCCCTGTGATTTTGATCTCTTTGCTGCTCAGCTGGATGGCCCACCAAGGGCCAGAACTGCTCACCCACATTATGCCTAAATTCCGCATCCAAACTGAGGACGTGTTTGCTTACAGTTTGGTTGCCATTTTCACTGCAGCACTTGTTTACCCTAAGCTTATGAAAAGGTAACAGCTTTTTTATTTTATTTTACTGTTAGAGTTTTATCTTCAGTCAAAGGCTATCTGGTTCTGATTGGTAACTGTTTTACGGTTAGTCATGGAAAGGTTAAATAAGTGACCACACAACCATATGGCAGGTGATCTAAGGTTAACATATCTGTTATGTTAATGTTGCTGTTGATAAATATTTTACACAGCTGCTTCTACGCTGGGTGGTTGTTTTAAAAAAAAAATATTTGGCCTTTCAAGAAACTTATTCAGTCAGTTACAAACAAAATTGCTGTATCCAATGTTTTATTACTTAATCTTGCAATCTTTTAAAATGAAATAGTCTGAAATTGAAAAATAATTTGCTGTAAACATATTTTAATCAATTACTTTTTTACAAGTACTTTTTACACGCTCTTCCTTTCTGTCCATGATTTTGTTTTACTTCAGCTTTTTTTTTTCCTTTATTTTTCCTTTCATTTTCCTATTTAATTAACAAAACACAATATTTAAAACAAAACTTTCCTGTTGTAATCACCGTGTTTTCTTCTTTAAGAAAATCATCTGAGCTGGACATCTTGTCACTTGATTGGCAACTGCTGAAATCTGTGGCACTCATTGCCCAAACTTTGGCTCTGGCCGCTATTGCAGTTCTCAACATTTCACAAGCTTTTTTCCTCACAGCCTTTATGGTGCCAGTGACAACTCTTGTCAGGCCATCTTCATACAGGTAGGTGTCTGAGTTGCCACATTGTGTTTGTTATGTCATGTTTTTAAAAAAAAAAACAGGGAAAAAACACTTTAAAGTTACGAAGATTTTAATGCATTTACACTTCAGTTTATAATAAAAATGTATTGGTAAAAAATGGTTGTATATGAAGTGGAAAATTGATCTTATTTCATGAACTATTGTTTCATATTATATAAATGTTTATAAAAGCTTAGACATTTTAACCTATTTCTAAAATTATTTGTTAAATATTGTATCTAAATATTAAACTATTTTTGCACCATATTTATTTGAAAGTTAATCTTTTATCATTAACAGCTGTCAGTATGCTTTTACGCATAAATTTCTTTTTACATCATGAGTTTGTGTATTGTTTGCCCCTTTTCTTACCTGCAAACCTATTTGATCAGTTCATCTGAAAAATATTTTTCATTGCTCATATTTACTCTTTTTTTTATCATTATGGTTTTTGCCAAGATAACAAGTTTGTGTGCTTTGTGAACTATGTGGAGAAGTAGACAAATAGAAATTAGCATTATGGGTTAAGGGGGAGAGCAGTACCTGCTTATATATCAATTTTAAAAAAAATTAATGATAAAGATAAAAATTATGTTAGTTAATGAAATTATATTAGAAAAATAATTTTAAAGAATGTTAGTCTTCCAGATTCTAAGTACTATCAGCACTCAGCTGATCAAAATTTGTCTCTGTGTAAATCTTAGTAACAGGAGAAAAAGAAATAACATAGTTTTAAAATATTTTTTAAAAATCACTTTATGTTTTGCTGTTTTTGTTTATATTGCACATGTCTTTGCACCCAAGTAAGAGGCATCATGCTTTTATTCTTAAATCAAATCATTGTTGTAATTTACTTATATGTTTACACTTTCACAGATTTGTTCGCTGGCTCCAAATGATTGCTTTAGTCCTAGTGTCACCACTTTGTCTTATGTTTATTGTGGGCGTCATCTCTGCCATGCCTAGAAATTCTGTACTGGAACTTTTGACTCAAGGATTTGCAAACAGCAAAAGCCTCATTTTTCTTGGAATAATGGACTCCTATCTTTTTAATGCTTGGACAGAAACTATCATCACTGCTGTTATTTTTCCAATTTGGCTTCTTTTTTGGGCAATTCCGTGGATAGATGCTAAGAAATCAGAGGTTTAAAATTGTTTATATGCCTGTATGGATAAATATTGCCAAGTAAAATTCTTATTTATATTTGTTTTGTTAGATCTTTGAAAGACAGTGGTAGGGATGTAAATTAACTGAGAAAATGTATTGAAGGTGTAATACTTTTAACAGTATGCTGTTTGGATTTATAAATAGTGTAACAGTATTTTTACTTGTTTTGAGGTATTTGTTCAGTGTTTAAGAATTAAATTTTTTTTAAAATTTCTTTTTACTTGTGTTTTTATAAAACCATGTTAGTGGAGATATCACCAAACTTATGATACATCTCTTCTAACATTTTAAGATTTTTGTTGGAAATACATACAACTGTAATCAAATTTCTTTAAAATTCCATTTTATCAACATTGCTAAAGAAAACGTAGGCTGATTAATATCTGAATTAACACCATACTTCTATGTCTTGGCTTTATTGTGCAGGGGTGAATTCTGTGAATCACGAATTGTGCATTTCATTAGATTAACACAAGCATGGTTTGTGAAGATCTCTCTATCAAATATTAAAGGTGACCATTGTCACCAAGTACCACTGTTAACTATTTACGGTCAAATGATGCCTGATGAGACTCCTGCACATTTGAACCGGATGACTGAACTAATATGGAGTGGCTTAAGCCTGAATACATTCCTGTTTATCCACCGTGAAAAGCTGTACATATAGCCAAATAATCAAATGAAACCTGTCTTACTTGCACGTCCTAATAGATTTGAGAATATCTGGATTAGTTATTAAAATTATAACTAACGACCATTTGTTTTAGTAGCCCTAGTGTTTACATGGTGTGCATTGTTAAATACTGATGAGTTTTTCAGAAGAAAATACTATATATTCTGTATAATTTTTAGATCTGTTTGACGCATGTCTTTTGCATTATCCTTAAAGAACTCTGGTCTAGTCAACCACATTAGTTTCAGATTTTAAATTTTAATTTATTTTCTAAATTTAATTGACTAAAAATGTCTTGAATGCATAGTATAGCAGTTAGAAACACAGTAAAAGATAGTTTTTTTAGTTCTGTTACCTGTAGTTGTAATATTTTACATTGGACAATTATCCGGTCCAAACCTAACCTCACAAATTATTCATAGGCCCTAATTTTTTGTTTAAGTTGCTTTGTATTGCACCTTCGTATTTAAATATATTTGTTATTTTAATGTTTGTTTTATACACTGATGACAATGTTGTTAATTTGTTGTAGAAATTAAAGTAAAATTTATATTTTGTTAATAACTTATTGTTACTTTCTTGAATGTCATTTCCCAGTTAGATATAAGTGAAAACCATATATAGTCCTATATAACTATCCAGTAACAGTGGGTGTAATTGAGGCTCTTGACCTCTAAATAGCTGGTTTGACTTGATATTTTTTCAATACTGGTTTAATATAAGTGAAGGACCAGTCCCACCCACAGAATAAGCTTGTTTTGTATTATGTGCATGGAAAAAAAACCTCTAAAAAAAAGAATATTTTTGCCCTATATCCATATACAATCCATCTAGAATAGATCAATTTAGCTAATTATACAAAGTTTATTGTTAATGGATATGCTATCCATATTTGTGAAGAAGAGGGGAGGGGGGTTGATGCACTTTAAATAATAACTGACATCACAATCCCAGGAATGAAAGGGTTCTGATTTTGGTGACGTAATTTTTTGACACCCCTTCTCCCACTCAGTTTCTTCCAGAAATCTCTTCGCCCCCCCCCCCCCCCCCTGAAAAAGTCTTACCCCCCACCCCCGAACGAAATGGAATTTATATAGAAAATATATACTTTTAACAGTGTCCGTCCGTCCCGTCCCCCCCCAAATTTTAGATGCCCCCCCCCCCATCCCCGGAGAAAAAAGTCTGAATGAAACACTGCTCCCACTGTGAACAACGACTAGTTCCAGCTTCTATGTCGTGACTGTAATTTTACGTACGCGAGAAGTCAATGTATAGGGCCCATCCACATCATAACCAACCTTTTTTTCTTTTTTTAAAAACAACACGAACTAAACTCAATACTCATTGTTTCTTGGCGTGAAGGCCATGCATTGATCACGTTGACTCTCTAGCTTCAGGGACTGACATTATGACCGGCTACGCCCACTGCAGCATTCAATCGGACTCCGTCATTATGCGGCCACGCCTAGCGACCGTTAGGCTTGCTGGAAGCGGCAATTAATAATGCAAATGGTTGGACCATATTCCATCTTTCTGGAAATGCCGGATACACACTATTTATTTGACGGGCTCTGATCGAAAATAGTGTAGGCCTGTTATTATTTTGGCGTTTATAAATGCACTCTTTAAATGAATATAGTTAATACTTTGTGTATAGGGCGTAAAAAAGTATATATTTTTTATAAGGCGAGGGGTCGTGCCAGTATTTCTCTCTGTACTGTCGTATTTTCGGACGAAATAGAAAATAATAAATATTTTAACTTTTTAAGAAAATTACTTTCCACACTCGCTTCCCCGGAATTGTTTTAAATTTACCCCTCCCCCCTCCACTCACACACATTTACACACGGGGCACAATAACTAGTAGATACTGCTTACTTTTCAGAGCTACTTAAATGTTTTTTCCTTGTTTGATATTGAAATATATTTTGAAATAACTTTTAATAACATACTGCAATTATAGCTTACATGTAGCCTACTTGTAACGTAGCCTAACAACGGTGGACAGTCAAAAGGCTTGGTTTTTTAAAAATTCACCACCTGACCCACCCCACCCCCCTTTCTCCCGTGCTCCTTTTCACTCACACGCGCAAATGGAACGTGTGTCTAGCATTGTGGTCTCGATTTTTGTGATTGGCAGCTTGGGATGAAGAAGACACGCTGGTCACGACAAAGGAACATTTTGCATCGACAGAAGAATGGTCGGTCACGCGAGCCAATGAAATCGCAGAGAGAACTGGTGACACAGTTCTATAGTGGTCAGAAGAATAAAAAAAAATCCAGCTATCTAGGCTTAGTAAAATGTATTAAATTAAAATAATTATTTGCATTTTTTTTAAATCTTAGGCAACCTTTAAGATATGAAATGACGCAAAAAATTACCACCCATTGTTTCTATATTCTTTAGCGTGACACTTTTGTTTTCGGGGACTCGCTGTGCTGATCATAGGGATTATAGTTGATAGAAACAAAGAAAGCATAGAAGATTTCAGTGACAACTACTTAAAAAAATGGAAAATTTATTATTTGGATTTTCATCAACAGACTTAGTCGAGTATCGGTGAGTAAAACAATAAACTTACATACTATGCGAGACTCTATGCCTACTACAATAGCATGTTTTCCCGCATGACTAAAATAGTATTATAGGTCTATTTGCTGATGCTACCACTGAGTGATATTTTAAGATGTAAAGACATGCTTACAAAATACACTTAAAATGCTGTTTTTTGTGTTTATATTCTTCCCCAAAGTTATAAGCCGTTCATATAGTTACTATAGTAAGTTAAAGTACTTTAATAACTGAAATTTAAAAAAAAAAAAAATAGAAGAATGATAGTTTTTCTTTTTTTTTTATTGTTACTATTCTTTTTACAATATTGATTCTTTTTGTCCTCCCAAAGAGATAAGTGTCTTTAAATACTTACTGATGAAGTATAATAGGCCTAAATCATACGATAACATAACACCTTAGTTAGTTTCAGAGAATTTTAATATAGATATCAATTAAGACTTAATGATAGTGGGCTAATTTTTTTTACCACGTAAGTGTGTTAATAATGCCTTTATATGTTGCTGAAAATTGTATTATATGACTAAATATGTAGGCTAACATTTATAACAAAATTTACAAAGCAATAATATAATTTAAAAAATCTGGCATTGCATATAATGGCGGGAAAATAGGCTTAAGTGGCATATTTACATCTGAACAAAAATAGTAGATGAATGGTCATCGATAATTATTTGACACTTACAACATAACTTATAAACATAGAAAATTCCCCGTAAGCTGCTTAAGAAAGTGAGTGTAATTAGCCTGATTTTAATAAATAAAACGAACGTTCAAGTGCTAGAAAGCAATTCATTGTTTATTACCCGATTGAACATTCGCGTTCACAGACACCACCGTTCGCGAGAGAGAACTCTCACTCGCCCACACTAGACTACTCGTGCTATGGGGCATTATTAGCAGCAGACGAAGATTGAAGCAAGAAGGTGGTTATAAAAAAATAAAACGTGTGTATGGCGTATGGGTGTTTAATTTCTTCATTGTGTAAAATGTACTTGATAAGAATAGATCTTCGAGACTTAAGAACTTAAGACACAACAAACATTCAGTATTTTTATTTTAATCTGTGTCCCATCATCGACATCAACATGAGTGCAAAGCAAAAGTTTATTTTTAAGTTGTAAACCCAAACAAGCTAGGAATGTCCATGTGTAAAAATTAGGGACTTGGATGAAATTTCAATTTTAAAAAAATAAATAATGTAGTAGCACCAGTTTATAGAGCTCATTTAGACAAGAACAAAGATACTTTTATTTTAATTTTAGCTCAAACGGTTACGGAGTTATGAATTTTTAACGTATTTAATTTTCGGGTTTTTTTACTATGGGGTTTTCTCAATTTTTTGCTTCCCTACTTTTTTGGATGCGAACTAAAATCTCTGTAACTTTTTAAATAGCAGGTATTTTTTAATGAAAATTCACTAAGATCAAGCTTATGATATCAGTAAAAGAGTAAGATAAATATAATTGAAGTGGATTGAGAATGATCATAAAAAATAATGTTAACAAAGAGGGTCACCCCCCTAAAATTTTTGAATAAGCGTCTTTGATAGGCAACACACAATCTGTTGCCAAATTTTTATTATATGGAATATCTTACTGAAAATTGGCCTGAATAGTGCCAACACTGTATACATTAACAGAAAGTCAAAATATTTTACTTAGCTTATGTGGTTTTATTACAATGTTGGACAAAATAAAAGTCATTTTTATTCTGCGCAACTACTTTTTTTGCAAGAAAGAAGTACAATGTTGAGTAGATTTTAGATTACTTTGGTTATATGCAAGAAATATTGTAAAAATGAAGGTTATTATATACTTTGATATTACCATTGTTCAAATTTGATTTTAAAAATATTTTATTTAATGAAAAAGGGGTTTAAACTCATATACCCCCCTTAATTTTAAACAATAAATTCTGCTATAGGCAACACATAATCTGTTGCCAAATTTTTATTATATGGAATATCTTAATGAAAATTGGCCTAATTGGTGCCAACATTGTATACATCCACACAAAGTAAAAATATTTAACTTAGCGTATGTGGTTTTGTTACAATGTTGGTCAAATTTAAAAAGTCATTTTTGTTCTGCGCAACTACTTTTTTGCAAGAAAGAAGTACAATGCTAAACGGATTTTAGATTACTAAAATTGTATCTAAATGTTGTCAATATTCATGATATTTCAACCATGTTATGTGTATGTTATCATAGAATTGATATAATTTAATTTACAATTATTGTTGAACAAATAATTTAATAATTGAAATGATTTTTTTATTGGTGGAGTAAAGATCACCATTTAATGTTAAAGGTAAGTTTTATAATTTAGAAACATGTGTCATATATTTAAATATTAGATCTAATATCTTTGACAGCCAGTTACGTGATTTTACTGATCCTTTTTTTAGTTAAACCCTGGGGATATTAATATTTAGAATCCAGAGTTGCTGATTTTAACAGTCTAGACTACTCATCATAATCTACTGGAGTGACTCTAGCCAAGTAGCTAGATCTAGATAATCTAGAGCTAAGAGATGAGTAGCCTCTTGCTACTAGATTCTAGATCTAATCTAGATCTAATAATTCTAATCTAGATCTCTAGTTAGTAGATAGATCTAGCTAGGCTAGCTGCTAGGCAGCTAGAGTAAGCTACGCCTACTCCTCAGTGACTAGTCAGTCCCTGACTGGGGATGTCATGATGTTTTAATTTAATTTTATTTTTAAGGCAATGAAAATGAATACATAGATCTAGTATAGTATAGGCCTTGACTACGCTAGAACCTAATAGAATATAGATCTATATATAGACTAGTCTAGCTAATATTTAGTTATTAATTTGAAATATTCTCAGATTCTGATAAGTCTTAGAGATAATAGTAATAGTAATACTAATAGATATCTTCTTCTCCATGTACTAATCTAATAGCCCCCAATGGGAGGGAATAGCCGCAAGATGGCCTTTCATTAAATATTTAAAAATCATGTGCAGCAGCTCTAGATCTATATGAAAACACATTTTGTGATAAAAACACTTTTGCATGTAGGCCCTATTTTATTTATTTGATGCTTTTATTTAGTATTTTTGTTAACTCAGCAAAATCATTGTACAACCATTGTCTTCTGGTTAGGTTATTTGTAGCTTTGTAATCTCAGTTTTATTATTACGAGCCGACCCGCGGTGTATCATACGCCGCTATTTAGTTGTTGTTTTTTCTACTTTTCAGTAATTCATAATTTGTGAATTTGACAGTTCCAATGCTGCCACTGAAAATATTTGCTTTAAAACACTAACCCCCCCCCCCCCCCCCTCGTGAAAGCAGCCTCCTCTTAGTTACCTCCTCTAAGTTTAAAATCGTTTCAGACTAAATATTCTGCCCCTAATAGCAGTCACCAAACCCGGCTCTACGATTGTAAGATGTAAATATTTAGCGTGAACCACAGCTCATCAGACCATGTGAGGTGGGGGGGGGGATAGCGAGGAAGAGAGGGACTGCAAGGCGCGCTTGCAGCTTGTTTTCTAACATCTCCCAGAAGAGAATTATATATATAGATGGTTAGAGATACGGGTTAGCATTGGCTCATTGACATAAGTAAGTCATATGTGTAATTATTTAACTACCAGCAGTCTTATAAGACTCCATTATTCAGGTATTATCATACACTGGAATAGCATAGACTCTAGTATAATTTGGAAGAAGCCAAAACAATTTTGTTTTTTCTCATTTTTAGATAGATATGCCACATGAATAAACATAACTAAAAATATTGTCCTCAAAGGTTAAAGTTGATTTAAAATATTTACTGAAAAAGCTTTGAGTTTTTAAAAAAAACAAAGTGGGGTTTACTGATATGTGCTATTGCTATTCATAGTTTGTCTATTAAAACAAACTTTAGGTTATAATGTTAGGTTGTTTTCAATAAATAGAAGTGCATTCTTAAATGCAAATGGTATTTTTCAAGATTTCTGCATTTGCAACTTTGTGACATCAATTCTTAAAATATTTTCTGATTGTACGGGTCAGCTTTAAATTTTTTCACTACAGCCACCACGGAGGTTCTATGAAAGAAATTGAAATAGCTTTTTGTAACTGTGGTAAAAATCTGCTGAATTTGTGTAGTGTAGTATTAATTAAGGAGCACCTTAAGGGTAACGATTCTAGCTAAACTATCGTTGATACAACCTGATGACATACATAGAACATTAATTAATATAGTGAATGTGCAAGACTTTAAACAGCCCTCCAAATAACATCATCATGTTGTGCCCCACCCTTCAAAGTGACTGTTCAAATGAACATTAAGTTTTCAATATTTCATATTTATGTTTTGATACATTTTTATTCTTACTTTTCTTTTATAACCAATAATGACCTTAGACATACCTATTACCATCAGAGAAATCAAACATGAGGGTTTTTTAAAAGCCTGACAGATTTTAATAGAGACTACATCTTCTTAATCTATATAGACATTGTCAGCATTTTCTCAGCATATTAGTATTACCTTCCTGTATATGCACAGTTTGTAATGTTAATGATACATGAACAAACAGGATCTCAATGGAAAAATTTGTCATTGCATTGTATGGCTAATCGTTATTGTATACCTAGAAGACTATTAATTATAATTTAAAATTATAACATTAATATATAATAAAAATTATTGTAATGTTTCTGTTTACAGATTCCTGGAGCCATTCACTATGAGCACAGTTTACAGCACAACAACGGCTTCTGAAAATGGCTCCCCCTCCAAACCTGAAAACATGTGTGCTTCAAACATTCCAGAAGAAGAAGCACTTTGTTTGACTTTTGGCGATGGCTCCATTTCTGGCGGGAGATGTGAGTCTCCCAGCATTAGCAGCAGCATCTCCAATGAGGAATCCATTGATTCTTTCCCCGTGGACCCCAGTAAAATCATCACAGAGGAAATGCTGGAGGAGGAGAAAAGGCTGTACTCTTCAGCAATCAAGGAGGAAGAAAAAAGAAAAGAAGAAGAAGCCATGCTACTTCGGGAGATGACAGATCAATCGAAAGAACAGAAATTCGAGCGGCTAAAATTTCTTCTCAGCAAGAGCACCATGTATACTGAATATCTTGTTGAGCGCATCAAAAAGCAGAAAGAAGAGGAAGAAAAAAGAAGAGCGAGGCTTCAGAAAAAAAATTTGAAGAGAAAGCAGGACAAAGAGGCCAAGCAAAGTGTTGGTGAGGACCATCAAAATGTTGGAAAACAAATAGGAAGTGATAACGAGGTTGGAAAAAAGAGGCCAGCGAGACAGAGAAATAAACGCAAACAGTCAGACGAGGATACTGATAATTTACCTGTAAAAACAAAAGGGAAAAGAGCCAAAACGGTTGGTAGTCCAACATTATCACCTCAAAGTAAATCTCCAACCCATGAAAATGTAGATAATAAGGGTGACCATTCTGACAGTGTTAAAGTTGACTCAGGTGAGACCGCCCAGAAAGATGACATACCCAGCTCCTTGAACAATGAACCGGGACCAAGCGGGGAAAAACCAGAAGAGCCAGAACTCTTTGAAAAAGCTTTAACTTTTGGTGTCGAGGAAGATGAATGCTCAAAGCGTGTGATAAACGGTGAACAGGTCCCCCTTCTCCAACCAAAGTTAATGGATGGCGGGGTACTTAGACCATACCAAGTTGAAGGTTACAGCTGGCTTAAGGTTCTCTATGAAAATGGTGTAAATGGAATTTTAGCTGACGAGATGGGTCTAGGCAAGACTGTTCAGTGTGTTGCAATCCTTGCACACCTGGTATACATGGGCATACCTGGCCCATTTCTGGTCTGTGCTCCATTATCCACCATTCCTAACTGGTTTTCGGAATTCCAGCGTTTTGCTCCCAAAGTTCCCACAATTCTTTACCACGGTCACAAAGATGCAAGGGCGCATATGTCAAGGCGTATTCGTAGAAAGCATGAGATTCGTAAAGGGGTATCTGTACAGCCTGTTGTTATTACGTCATATGAGATAGCTATGATCGATAGGAAATATCTGGCTAACCATGAATGGAAATACCTGATTGTGGATGAGGGTCATAGAATAAAGAACACACATTGTCGTCTTATAAGGGAGCTACGTTTATACAGATCAACACATAGACTTTTGTTAACGGGCACACCATTGCAAAACAACTTAGCTGAATTGTGGTCCCTGCTTAATTTTCTTTTACCAGAGATTTTTGATGATCTCGGCAGTTTCGAGACCTGGTTTGATATAAACTGCATCAGCGATGCATCATCTGAGGAGAAGATTGTGAATCAGGAACGTGCCAACAATATTCTTAGCATGCTTCATCAGATTCTGTCTCCTTTTATGTTGCGTCGGTTGAAGTCGGATGTAGATTTAAACATACCCCCAAAGAAAGAAATTATTGTTTACGCCCCATTGACACAACAGCAAAAATCTTTCTATTCTGCGCTGGTGGACAGAACAATTTTCAACTTACTTGACTCCAAAGACAAAGAGGAAGAAAAGGTGGAGACAACTCCAAGTGGCCGTCCTAAACGGAAATCCACATCTGTCGTGGTGGACTACAAGATGATGATGGAAACTGAGGAAGAGAAGAAGTTAAACAAAAAGGAAGGCTCTAAAGCTTGCAGTGTGAAGAGATGGAAAGATTGGGAGGAAGAAGAAAAGGAGATAGAAAGTTGGATACATACATTCAGTGAGAAAGACAAATCCAAGTAAGTTTTATGTAAGATTAATTGAAGATTATAAGATCTTGCTAAACTAAAGCTAGTTAATAATATTGTAGAACTTTCGTTTCTTGCATTACTATTGTGCCTGTTGCTAAATATTTCTTATTATGATAAACATATTAATTTTTTATTTCACTATCTTCCCAAGTATAATGTTGATAATGAATATACTATATAGATATTATGTTTTTGTTGTCACAAATGCTAATTCCTGATATTTCTAAATGATGAATCAGTGTGACTGATATAATCTTCCTAGCACTTTGACTATAGTTTAGAATCCTGTGTTTTGTTTGTTTTTTTAGCAACTAGGAAAAAGATGTTTCGGCTGAAAACATGAAACTAGTTCTGTGCATAGTGACCTTAATAGCTGTGCTAGAGTTAGGGATAGGTGTGTAAACACGCATTCGCAGTACCATTGAAAACATCACAGCAAATGAAAGAGACAGTTTCTCTCCATTGAGCATGCAAATCTTTTTCCGGATAGAATCTGCCTTTTTTAAAAAATACAACTCAATTCCATCTTTAAAAATGTTAAATGTAAACAGAAATGCTGTTCAACTTTGTTCACTTTACCCCATTTACCCATTTATTGTTCAGTCAACTTTTATATCCAGATTTAACCTGAAGGGAAAAAAATACAGATCAGCGGAATCTTAACATTTAAAGTAAACCAGTGTTGTTTTAATTCAACAAAACTGTATATTTTAATTTAAAATTTTAGCTTTATAATTGACTCCTTTTCAACTGGTTGTAAACAGCAACAGGGCTGACAAAGTAGAAAAACAGAGGACCTCTCAGGTTACAATCAAGATGAGAAATGTCATGATGCAGCTGAGGAAATGCTGTAACCATCCTTATTTGCTGGAGCACCCGCTTGACCCTAAGACGGGCGACCTTGCACTCACCGAAGGTGTTGTTACCTCATCAGGGAAGATGTTGGTTCTGGATCGTATGTTGAAGGAGCTTAAGAAAAGGGGACACAGGGTATGTTTGGAATTTTAAGTTATCATCATTGTAGTTATGTTAGTCTGTGGTCCCGCTGGCACATTAAGAAGTGATGCCTTTTTAGACATGACTGTCACAATGGTAGAGTTTGTACCTCAGCCTAAAGAAGGGATTATATGGTCAGGACTAAGCCAGGTGCACTACCTCTCCACTGCATCTTCTGTCATTAATTCATACGTCACCAAGACATTCAGAGGCACTTCATTCTACTCTTAAGTTAATGTGTAGTTAATAAGCTGTTTTTCTCTCTGTAAAAACAACGCTAAGGAATCATTTGAACCAATACAAGTTAACTGAATTACTATAATATTATTTTCAATTAGTGTGATTAAATTAAAAAACAATTTTAAGTAATTAATCTTCGATAATTGTCTAAATTTGTGTTTTTGTTGGTGTGCATATTACTTGTAAATAGAAGTTTTATTGTAATTTAATATCATTCTTGTTACCATTTCAGGTATTAATATTTAGTCAGATGACAAAAATGCTGGATCTTATAGAAGATTTTTGCCAGATTCGGGGATATGATTTCTGCCGTCTTGATGGCAGCACACAAATGAATGATAGAAAAGACAGTGTAAGCTTCTCTTTTAATCTTTTTTGAAACTATATTTCTTTAATATGTATTTGATAGCTAGTAGTATGCTTGTGGAGTATATACCATCTATAAAAAAGTCATTTAGGTGATAGAATTTTTTAAAAGCTGATTTTTTTAATTAATGTAAAAAAAAAGTACCAGAAGCTAAAATGTTAGAGATTATAGCTTTCAAACGTTATTGTAACTGATTAAAAAAAAAAAAGTGCATTGCGTACAGTTCTTATATAATGTGTTGAAATTGTTTGATTATAAGTTGTACATTTTTTTTTTGCTCCGAAAAATATGTAGGCTCTATATCTTTTCGTTTACTTTTATTTTTGTGACAGATGAATGTGTTTAATGAGACGAAGGATAAATTTCTGTTTTTACTGAGCACAAGAGCTGGTGGTCTTGGTATAAACCTGACAGCTGCAGACACTGTCATCATCTATGACAGTGATTGGGTGAGAACAATTGTCATCTACATTTTACTCTACTTCATAATTATTCATATAACCCTTTACTGACTTTATGCACTGAAGCATATTTTTTTTTTTTTTTTTGCATATTATCATAATAAAATAATAATTCTTACAACTCTAATTTAAATACTTAATAAGGATATAGCTATTCAGCTAAGAAAATTAAAAAACCTTCAACTTATAAAAATAAACCTATTAGAGCTGACAGTGAACTGGTTAATTGCCAATTTTAACAATGACTCTTTTAAGAATCAATTTTTAAACTAAAATTTGTTATATTTTTTGTTATTTCCCTGTTAATTACTTGTATATAAAGTTTCGTTTTTAAAAATACCTACCAGTTCTTTATTAAAGATAAACAATGTTTTTATAAAACATAATCTAAATTTTTGTCATATTTTTACTGCCGTTTTTATTTGTAGAACCCACAGTGTGACCTCCAGGCTCAGGATCGCTGCCATCGCATTGGTCAGACAAAACCAGTGGTTGTTTACCGCTTTGTTACAGCCAATACAATCGACCAAAAGATTATTGAAAGAGCTGCGGCGAAAAGAAAACTTGAGAAGATGATTATCCACAAAGGTAGCTTTGAATCCTTTTTTTCACTGTTGTTTTGTTTATGAAAAGCTTTCCTGTAAAAAAATTTCAGAAAGCAATATAAATAAAACAATGCATTAAGTATGTAGCTAGCTGTTTAAACTTAAAAGATTTATACTTTCACTTGTTTCTTTGCTTGTTTCTTATAGTAAAAAAAAATATATAAATCAATTAAACCTCATTTTCAGTTTGACATGAACATTCTTTTCACTACTTCCATGTGTAGGTAAATTCAAAAGTGGGAACTTCACAACTAAAGCTAAACCCATCACCCCTGAAGAGTTGCGCAGCCTGCTGAACTCAAAGGACCATGAGCTAGAGATCAAAGGTGACAATTATGTCATCACTCAAGCAGAGCTCGACCTTCTTCTTGACAGATCTGATCTACTGGAGAAATGGAAAAAAAGTCAGAAATATTTTTTTAAAGATTAGGTTGATTATGTTTTGTTGTATTCATCGCTAGTATTTTAATTTCTATAGACTACGTATTATCAACAGAGATGAAATGTTAACATTTTCATTGTTGTGGAAATCTGGATTTTCCATTTGAAGGAAGTTTTCTGATTTCTTTTCTGATCGCTGGCTTTTTCTTTAAAAAACTTTCCAGAAGATTCCTTACCTTACACTTTTCCTCTAATTATATATTATACTATTATAAGCTTATTTTAACTAATAAGTATGTTATCGATTGAACTCTGCATTTTGTAAGTTGCTAAACTTGTCTGGAACACAAATCACTCACCATGTCATGTCTGTATTTTTTCTAGTATTTCCCACGTTTTCTTTAACTTGCTTTCTCTGTGTCTGTGTTTCTGTGTTTGTCTTTCCAATCAAATCTTGCAATCGAAATTTCTGGCACTTCCCAGTTAGCTAGCGCGCTGAAATTTTCAGGGAAGCTTTCTTTTGGATGACCATTGAATATTCTATTGTTATTATTACTAAATTTATCAATGGAAACATTTTATTGAGCATTTTAGACCGCTATATAATCTATATATATAATTCTCCTCTGCGAGCCATTAGAAAAAAACGAGCGACGCGTACCTCGCGCGCAGTGAAGCGAACGATCCCACATCGCCACAGGCTTAGGGGCAGATAATTTAGTTTGAACCGAGTTAAATCTTACAGGAGGTAGGCCAGTTTGGGAAAGACGATATGGTCGAGTGGTTGGGCACACGATTGCTATCCCACTCGACACGGGTTCAAATCTATGTGTTAACACAACGTGTTTTTTACGAGTTGTCTTTTTACGAGTTGTCTTTTTACGAGTTGTCTTTTTACGAGTTGTCTTTTTACGAGTTGTCTTCGTTTACCCAAAAAAAGTGAAAAGATAAAATCGATAGCAAGATTTTAATGCAAACAAACAAAGACTAAAAAGTAGAAAATAATAATCATTAAAAAAGTTTTAAAAAACCCAAGTTTTCTGATTGAACTAAAAAGTAGAAAATAAACGCTATACATCACAATAATGCAAGCGATCACTCTACTATAAGCGATCAAAAACGTGGGGCGCCGTCATTTTCTTACAGTTTCTAATACTGTTGACTCTCTACAAGCTCCCTAATAAAAGTCAATAGTATTATCTAATCAATAGTAATATAACTTTTACTTCGGCGCCCCACGTTTTTCATCGCTTATAGTAGAGTGATCGCTTGCATTATTGTGATGTATAGCGTTTATTTTCTACTTTTTAGTTCAATCAGAAAACGTGGGTTTTTTAAAACTTTTTTAATGATTATTATTGTTAGGAAAATTTTATGTAAAGTATGTTAAAGTAACTTAAAGTAGAGGTATTATATGGCATTTTATAGCAGCCATGCGAAATTTTTTGCATTCATGGACATATCTTTGAAGCACTGAATTAGATCATCAGCAAGAATTGATTAAAGTTCAGCTTTTTATGCAAACATGTTTGCTGAAGTTGCTTGCTGGGCTAAAATACTTTAATTTAGCAGATTAGTTTAAAACATGCCAACATAATGCATAACAAGCTGACACATAATATTTAACTAAGAACAAAGAAGTTTAAAACTTTCAGCATATTTTTATCTGTAGGTTAAAATATTTTTCTTATGAGCTCTCAATACTCAACTCAAGGTACTGATAAATTGAAAGAAACACAAGCAACTCCTCTACCTGAAGAAGCCAAACCTAAAAAAGCTCCACAGGCAAAGAAAGGGAAGGGGAAGAAAGGAAAGCAAGCTGACCCAGACAGTCAGAGTCAAGCAGCAAAGCTCTTTAAGGTAGTGATGTTTAATAAGATTTGTACATTTGGTAAAATAATTAGTGCTTGGTTGACTTAGGAATGTTCTAATGAAACTAAACTTTCAATTTATGACTTTTTCAGTTAGCATTTGTATGCTCAAATATCTGACCACACTATATAGACACATCACAAATGTAAATTTATAAATGTATATTTTTTATTTTGAAAAGAAAGTATATTTTTGGGTCAGATTAATTTTAAAATTTGAACTACAGTATAAAAATGCAAAATGTCTGTTTTTATAGTTCTTAAATAAATAAATTTGTCACCCAGAGTTTCTTTCAGTCATCTTGCATGAAACACTTGCACACACAAACACACACAGAGAAAAAAGTCTTAAACAATCAAATTAATTACATAATTATGTTTTAAATTATAAATGTATAGTGCAGTCCTCTTTTAGCTGAAGTATTTTACAGTCTGCTACAAATTCAGCTAAAAATAATTTCAACTACTAAAATTGTGTTTGTTTACAGGTTATAGACACAACAGTGGATGAACAAAGTAACGCAGAAAGTGTTGACATGGAAGATGTTCTGAGTGCTTGTTCTCAGTTGAGCTAATTGTTATTCCAGTGATCTAACAAATTGTATACACTATTTTTTTTTAAAAGAAATGTTGTTTTTATAAAAACATTAAGAATCATCATTTGATACATTAGCATGAATAGAACTATTTTAAATTGGTACCATTTGTAATTGTACAGTTCTCTATGTATATGTTTTAGGATATTGAAATTTTCTTGATTATTTAATACAAAAATATATAGACTTTTATAATCTACATATATAGAAACACCTGAAAACTGACATTTTTTATCCATGAAAAGCTTACCTAGTTGTTTTTTTACAGTGACCCTAGTAATGCATAATGAATCAAAATGTTCATATATATATATATATATATATATATATATATATATATATATATATATATATATATATATATATATATATATATATATATATATATATAACTATATATAAAACATGGTGCAAAATGTGTCTTCAATTTAGAATATGTAACAATAATTATTTTTTTTAATTTAAAAAACAGAAATTGTTCTTTCTGTAAAATAAAGCTTGCATCTTTCGATTGCATTTATGTATTCTTGCTTAAATTTAAAAACAGGAGATACAAAGCTACATGTGTCAGATTTACATTTGGTTCATCCAGATGTATTCCTGCTGTGAATAATCTGTACAGAATAATGTGAGTGCATTAAGCTTGTTGGGGTCATTAGCCTTGGTCTCTGTGTTCAGTATTTCAAGGTATGCAGTGGGGGCGACATGCATCAATTTGTTCTACAAGAAAGTGATTCATTCAGTGCCTGTGGCTTGTGCGATATTTGCTTGCCTTAAAGCTTAGATAGAATACTCAATTATATGGAGGATCTTGTCTTGGGTTTATTTGCGTAATAAACTTACAATAGTAATATAAGCTTTACTTATTCATTTTATTTACAGTAACAAAGTTCCTAAGATATCAGCTTTTTTGTTGTATCTCGGTCATTTTAGGGTTTGATGACTTTAAATCTTACATTGCTTTTTAACCTGTTGTTATCTCATATGTATCCCAATGTACATTTCTTACATTCTCTTTCAGTTCATAATAATTGTTTAAATTTACTGACTTCAACACCTACAACCAGTCCATGTTTATAATAATTAAAAATTCTGGTTAAATCTTGTTAATACTTTTATAAACTCAGTGCGATCTTAGAATTACTGTAATTATAAATGACTTTGGTGTTATTTTTTTGTCGCCTTCTTCCTTATTGCGGCATACAACCTACATCTTCAGTGTTTTAAAATGTGTTTTAGAACAACAAAATTTTGATGTGTTTACTTTCACATTAGTATGTAATTTTTTATTATTCTGCTTGTAAATTAAAGTTCTTAATATAATATTATAACATTGTTTCAGCTTTTCATTGAAAGTTAAAAATACTTTTGTATTGTATAATTCATCCCTGTGTACTCATCTTTCATTGCCTTAATTTTTTTAGTATTTCCATCACTTTTCATAAAATTTTCTAGCTTTCGCTCCGAAGGTTTTAAATACAACAGTCATTGCTTTTATCGAACTACTGTTAATTTTTTTTACTACAATTTGTAGTGCAGTTTAATTACTTTAAAGAAGTGTATTGTCAAAGTTATTTCACAACCAGGTAATTTGTTTTAAGTATAGAGTTGAAACAGATTGTTTTCTGTTCTTTTATAAACCTAATGCCTGAATTTAAAATGGTTTTATTACTCTGACAACAAATATAACACACGAGCCGACCCGCGGCATATCATACGATAACCCCCCTCCTTCCCCCCCCCTCCTTCCCCCCCCCCTCGTTAAAGTAAACTCCACTTAGTTACCCACCCCCCTACGTTTAAAATCGTTTCAAACTAATTTATCTGCCCCTAATAGTCGTCACTAAACCTGGCTCTGCTTGTAAATATTTAGCGTGAACCACAGCTCACCAGACCATGTGGGGGTGGTAGGGAGCGCGCTTACAGCTTGTTTTCTAGGGTCTCCCAGAAGAGAATTATATATATAGATTTTTTAGAAATCTGGTTAACGTGTTAAAAACCAATAATTCAAATGTTGCTAGCACAAGTTATAAGACCATATAACATACAGGTAACACAAAATTTACATTGTAAAGACTATTTTTTTACTTGTTATTGTTACTGCTATGTATAATTATAAATTAGTAATGACATTTTCAACAAGAATTTTCTTTTTAAAACCTTGTGAAAACAATATGTGGAGCTTACTTATTACTTATGTTATTGTTGTTAAATTGCCTTTGGTGTTATATTTTTTCCCATTGTTTTCTTGGACCAACACTTGTATAAAATGTTAATACAAGAATAATATCATGTCTTGAAAATATTATAATTTTAGACTAAAATGTTAATACAAAGATAATACAAGTCTTGAAAATATCATAATTTTAGACTAATATGGTATTACTCTATTAGTCTTGAAAATGTACTTATAATTTCAGACTAAAGTAGTATTACCAATATTAGTTTAAAAATACTATTACTATATAAGACTTGAAATTGTACATTATGACAATCTCTGGGATTTTTGTTTGTTGGATGCTGCTTGAAGTATTCTTTATCCTTTAGTAAGCATTACAAACTAGAAGCATTCATTATCCTTGCCTTTGTTATATAACTATATTACTAGAAGCATACCATGTCTTTGTTAATTAGCATTACTACTTGAAACATGTGTAACTCTGTTTTTGTAACAGGGCATTACTACTAGTAGCATTCATTACATATCTTTTATTAGGACTATATGTTTGAAGATCTTATACAAAGTAAATTTACTTTAGTCTTACAGTTAAAATTGTCAATAGTTAAAGCATTAGAATTTTACTTAATTTTTAAAAGTAAAATTAGTGTGGGGAAACAGCTGTGACGTATATATTTATATATTTATATTTTCTATATGACTTAGCAGTTTAATGAAAATTTTAAGTGAATTTTTATGTTTATTTTAAAGAAAAATTTTTTTTTTAAACAAATTACTTCAAATTAAAATAAACTAGAGAAAGTTTTCTTTTCCATTTAAAAAATAAATAATATTCCATTATTACATAAAATAAAAGTATTTTTAGCTTTAGTAAGCTCATTATAAAAAAAAATTATTTAAAATCTTATACATAAAAAAATAACTCTCTCATACTTAAAATAATTTTTAAAAGTATCAAATGCACAAAAAGTACTTTGTCCAAACCACCACTCAATAAAACAAAAATTGTGTAGCCCAAACAAAACTTTTGGGGTGTAGTTGGGCAGTCTCTATTTTAAACATAGATCTTAACCTATTTCAATAGCAGAAAAGTTTTAGTGTAATCTAAATCTAAATAATTTTGACATCAAATTTTAATAGCTTCCGACAAGTTCAAAATGGTATATATTTTTTTTTTTACAATTTTAGTATAAGAAATGTAAATTCCCTGGCAACCAAAATTTTAATTACAGTTTAATAATTTTAGTGTAAGAAATGTGTGTATAAAACTTTTGTTTAAATAATACACGCTGAAACTAAAAATGAGCTGGCATGTTTTTTTTTTTTTTTTTTTTGGTTGTGTTTTATCTATGCTGCAGTATTTCACAACATTATAATTGGTGTACATCATTTTTTTAACTTTCAAATTTTTTGTCCTTTTTTTCATGTTTTTTTTTTTTTGTATTGTAAAGTAAAATATATTGTTGATGTAGGTATTTGTTTTTCTTTAATTTTTGTGATTTAAAAACCTTGTTACCAAATTTTTATTTTTAGTTTACTAATAAAAGTATTTTTAAAAAAAGTTTTTGTACATTTGTATAAAAATTAATTACAGTGCTATTTTTCAAAGGTGCCTTGCTTAGCCTGGTAATTTAGATGAAATAAATTATCATAAACTAATTACAATCGTCACCACCGCATCCTGTTAAAGATGGACTGATTAGTTTTTACTAAACGGCCTTACCCAACTTTCAAGTATCAGCACTACAGACAGCAGTACTTCGCTTTGAGTGAGCTAGATAATGAGAATGTGATCACCACATAAATGATGCAGTACGTAACCCTGGATATCAGACAGCTATACCTGGTCCTGATATCTCTCACAACGCGCGATCTGTGATTATGCGATGATTTTTATGCACCAAAATCCCACCCATAAAAGAATATTTTAATATTTTTGAGGTAAATTCCTTTTAAAATATACACAGCTTCTCTTAAATGAATATAAATGAAACTTGAAACACTCGCAAGAGTAGTGTGTTTAAAATAAAAGTCTCTAGAAGCTACAAGAAAAAAAAATAAGCTATTTATTTTAGAGTGATGTATTGACATGAGATATACAGTTCTACTGCCCTCCCCTGTCCTCTCCTCCGGGTCATGGGAGGGTATGAGGAGGTTGTATAAAAAAAGGAGGCAGCAAAAAAGTATGAGTGTGTGAAGGGTAGAACAGAATGTGATGAGGAGGGTGGAGGCCGGATTCCCCCCCCCCCCCCCCAACGAAATGGAATTTATATAGAAAACAGATTCTTACCGGTGTCCGCCCCCCCCCCGGAAAAAGTAGCCCCCCCCCCCCCCCGAAATTATATAGCCCCCACCCCTCGGAGAAACAAATCTGGAAGAAAAAGTGGTGGAGGCGTAGGCTAAGGTAGAATGGAGTGGGGGGGGGGGGGGGGAATGGAAGAGTGAGGAGACAAGTTAACGACTTCAACTAAGGACGAAACAACATCAGTGAATAAACAAAACCACAACAGTTTTTTTTTTACTAGTTATTTATTTAATATGTAAAGCAGGACTGGACAGTTTCATAAATGGCTCCGTAATTTGTAAAGTGTGTCCCTAATTTGTAAAATGTGTCTATAATTTTTAAAGTGTTTCCGTAATTTGTAAAGTGTTTCCCTAATTTGGAACGTGTTTCCGTAATTTGTGAAGAATGTGTCTGTAATTTATAAAGTGTGTCTAGATCTTTAACTTGTAAACTGTTTCCGTAATGTGTTAATGTTTCTGTAATTTGTAAGTGCAGCATAATTCATAATATATTTTCTTCACGGCATCTTTGAATAAATTGTTTTTAAAAGTTCGT